GCAGTTAACAGGACCAGCACTGTGACACAGCCAGTTAAACCACAGTCGGCAGTCCCCGCATCCCATATGGGCGCCAGTTCAAGTCCCGGCTGCTCTACTTCCAATGCAGCTCCTGCTAATGTGCCTGGGAAAGCAGTGGAAGGTGGCCCCCAAGTGCTTGGGCACTTAGCCCACTATGCCACAACACCAGCCCCAGTAAATGAATCTTTAATAATAATAATAATAATAATAGCAGCTAACCGTAGCCAGTGGGTGTGCTAAGTGTTGTATTATCTCAGGGCGTGTGTTCAACACAGCAGTTAAGATACTGTTTGGGGGCCGGCGCCGCGGCTCACTAGGCTAATCCTCCACCTAGTGGCGCCAGCACACCGGGTTCTAGTCCCGGTTGGGGCGCCGGATTCTGTCCCAGTTGCCCCTCTTCCAGGCCAGCTCTCTGCTGTGGCCAGGGAGTGCAGTGGAGGATGGCCCAGGTGCTTGGGCCCTGCACCCCATGGGAGACCAGGAAAAGCACCTGGCTCCTGGCTCCTGCCATCGGATCGGCGCGGTGTGCCGGCCGCAGCGCGCTGGCCACGGCGGCCATTGGAGGGTGAACCAACGGCAAAGGAATACCTTTCTCTCTGTCTCTCTCTCTCACTGTTCACTCTGCCTGTCAAAAAAAAAAAAAAAAAAAAAAAAAAAAGATACTGTTTGGGAAGCCCGCATCCTGGGTTCGAGTCCTGGCTCCACTTCCTGCTTCCGTGTACCCTGGGAGGCAGCAGGTGAGGGCTCAAGTAGTTGGGTTCCTGCCACCCACACGGGAGACCAGGATTCAGTTCCAGGCTTTTGCTATGGTCTGGCCCAGCCTGGCTGTTGCAGGCATTTGGGGAGTGAAGCAGGCAGAAGACTGTCTGGTCTCCGTCCCTGTGAGTCTCTCTGCCTTTCTATCCATAAGTGTCTATTTGCTCTTTAAAATCTGCTGACCTTAAGGGGTAGATACTGTTATTCCCATTTCAGAGATGAAAAAGCGAGTCTGAGCAAGACGGGGTGACGTGGCCGGAGTCACGGAGCTGGAAGGAGACAGGGTCTCAAACCCGAGCCTGGCGGAGGCCAGCGTCTGATGGGCGAGTGCTGTCCCGGGGCCTCCACACACATCCAAGGCCACCCAGCAGCCCCCCCACCCACCCAGCCCCAGGTGTTCGTCTCCCACTTCAAGGCTGGGGCTACACGAAGCCCCCGTAGGCTACAGCAGAGGCAGCCTGCGAGCCCCAGCTGAGCTCCTGAAGAGGTGGTTGCGTGTGTTACTGCTCTTGCTTAATGTTTGATTTTATTTTCATCCGATTTGAAGGGCAGAGAGCTAGAGACGGAGAGCAGGAAGCTAGAATCGGGAGTGGCTGAGGCTTGAACCCAGCCTCTCCGATACGGGATGCAGACATCAGACACTGTGCCCAGCACCAGCCCTGTGTGGGTCGGTTCAGCCAGGGATCCTTCCTTAGGGGTCCCGTGGACTTGCCCAGATGGTCTGCACACCTGTGAGCGTGTGCGTGCACAGAGCCTCCGCCGGAATCCCAAAGAAGACAAAGCACGACTTTAGAAGCTTCTGGATCTGTGGACTGGCAGAACCCAAGGTGCATCCCCCAAAGCTGCTGGGTCTGCCCCCACCGATCCTGGCCCCCGCCCCGCCCGGGCTCATGGCTTCCAGGTCCCACCTGCCCGTTCTCGCCTCCGCCCAGCCTGGGTTCATGGCTTCCAGGTCCAGCTCTCCCAGAAGACAAGCATTAGGCCAAGGCACATTCCGCCTGCCCCACCCCCACCAGCTGGACTGTGGAGGGGAACTCACTGGCTGCAGTAATCAAGTCAGGGCCAGCCTGAATCCCGCATCACCTGTGAAATTCCTGGGCACCGTCTGAGGGGACGGAAGTGCCACAAATCCTTCCAGGCTCTGATTTATGCAGTCTGCGTGGGGAATTTATTATACAAAAGAGTCTTATTCAATTAAACTTGAAATGCGACCTGGTTCTTCAATGTTCGGCACGTGATGGCTGGGACGGAGCACTCATAAAACCGGATGGGGCGTGGGAAGGGGCTGGGGAGGAGGCGGGGTGACATTGCGGCTGACGGGCGGACGTTTGTCATTGGGATGGGTTACAAGTTCGGGCTGTGGAAATTACTCAGTGAAAAACGCACATTAACAATAGCCATGAAATAGCAGTTAAGGGGAGCCAGGTTGAGACATGTGACAGCAGGATCTATTAGTGGCTGGCATTGTTCGCAGCAGCCCGGTTGTGGGGAAAGCGACCGTCCAGAGGCAGAGGGGTGGCCAGCAAGGAGCACGGGGCCAGGAGTCCCAAGGCCACGCCCTGGCTCCCCTCCCTGAGCCTGCTTCCCCCGTGCAAGGCAGGGCGGGCAGGGGAGGTTCCTTGGCCCACAGCGGCTGGGGCCATGATTATCGTGAGACCGTCTCTGTTCCGAGGACCTGACCGGGACCAGGGCGAGGCAGCGAGGCACTAGATGGGTGCAAAGTGTACGAGTGACCAAAAGCTCAATAACCAAGAAAAGGAATATTTTCAAAAATCAAATTATGAAAAAAGGGCCCTATGATAAACAAGATATCCCGATTAAAAAATGTATTTATTTGAAAGGCAGAGAGAGAGAGAGAGAGAGAGAGAGAGAGAGAGAGAGAGAGAGAATCTTCCATCTACTTGTTCACTCCCCAAATGGGCTCAACAGCCGGGGCTGGGCGAGACCAAAGCCGGGAGCCAGGAGCTCCATCCGGTCTCCCACGTGGGTGGCAGGGCCCAAGCACTTGGGCCATCCTCCGCTGTCTTCCCAGGCACATCAGCAGGAAGCTGGGAAGCAGAGAAGCTGGGATCTGACCTGGTGTTGTGATGCGGGATGCCAGTGCTGGTGGCAGGGGCGTAACCTGCTACATACACCCCAAGGCCAGCCCCACGATGTCACAATTGTCAACGACAGCAGGCTGCAGTTTGCTTTGCGACCCCGTGCTGCTATGCGAGGGTGGACAGCGGGAACTCAGACCAGCGACACGGGACTCGCGGGGCCCACGGGGCTCACGGCCCGGCATGGTTTGACGAGAGCTCTTAGGAACCTCTCCACCCTGGTTCCTGCGACAGGACGACGTTCTGATCGGGGGTGGAGGGGCACACAGCTCCCTCCTGCTTCAGCCGCCTTCCAGCCTCACAAGGCCCTGCAGAGGGGCACACGCTGCAACAACCCGTCCTCCAGGCCCCACAACAACCCTTCTGCTTATTCCGGGGGGGGGAGGCATGGGAGAGAAACACCTGCCGTCTGCCCTGCACCTGCGTGGTTTCAGGGACGAACGTTGGCTGGTGGGAGGGGAGACAGAGCCAGAGTGGTTCACGATTGGCTGTGAGCTGCTGGGGCTCCGCCTCCCTGGCCGAGCCTGGAATGACCACAGGGCAGTGAACCACCCTCAGCCCCTGCACACGCGCACTTTCCCTGTTTGCCATCAGGGAACACCGACTGTGCACCAGACCTAGGACGCACTGCGGGGAGCGGCGTGAGACACGGCCACTTCCTGGGGGTGTGTGCTCACTCTTGGGCCCCTGCACCTCACTTCGCTCTGCCCATGGCTCCAGAGGCCGGCTGCAGCCTGCTGGCCACGAAAGGACCCAGGGGACATAAATGTCACTGCCACCTCCAGGTGAGGGGGTCAGAATGCAAGCACAGATGTGCAAGCAGTAGATACGCTTGTCACAAAGATGGCTGCAGTGGGGCCCAGCGGGCCAAGCCGCCCCTGGTGACACCGGCATCCCATGTTGAGGTACTGGTTTGGGTCCCTGCTGATCTGTTTCGGATCCAGCTCCCTGCTAGTGCACCTGGAGAGGTAGCAGATGGTGGCCCCAGTGCGGACCCTGCCACCCATGTGGGCAACCAGGATGGACTTCCCGGCTCCTGACTTTGGCCTGGCCCAGCCCTGCTGTTGTAGCCATTCAGGGACATAAGCCAGCAGATGAAAGATATTCCTCCGCCTTTCAAATAAACAGATAAATATTTTAAAAAAATACACTAACAGATGGCTGGAGGGACCAGCCTTCCTGTGCCCAGCCCGATGCCCCTGGCCACGCAGGCACCCAGGGAGCCCCGGCTGCACTGCGCGCCCCAGCTCTTGCAGCCCCTGCGTGGGGCAGGAGCGCGGGAGCCCACCCTTCTGAAGTCATTTCCTGCCTTCAGCGCACCGACTCCTCTCCGCCCTTCATAAATATCCCCTTCCCAAGGGCACAGCTGGCACCAGCGGTGGCATTCCGTAGCAGGAGGGAGCCGTAGTGACAACTGAAATAAAATACGGCCGTGGCACGGGTGTCAGAGGCACGAAGCTGCCAAGTGTGACAGCGAGGAAGTCGGTCTCGTGGGCGTCCGCCTCGCTGGAGCCCCAAGACCTGGTCTCCAGCCGAGTCTGCGCCGCCTCGGCCCCTCGACTCGCTGCCTGGACCAGGCAGGAAAGGCCGCCTGGAAGCAGCGGCCGTGGCCTCACCAGGGCCCCCCTCCTCGCGCGAGGAGTCTCCAGCTGCACCCCCAAACACGCTTCCGTCCCAGTCTAGGGCTCCTGAGGCCCCGCCCGTCCGCCTGCCGCCACCCTGCCCCCTCTGCTGGTGGCCGGTGGCCCGGAGGGCACTGAACTTCCACGGCCTGCCTGCCTTCCCCTGTGTCAGTGTGGCGTGGGGAGCCCCTTTGGCGCGGGGAAGTCACAATTCCGATTCCAAGGGCCTCTGGGAGCATTCCAAATCCTTGAACAAGCAGAGCTGGCAGTGGGAGGGCGCACTCGCTCCCATGCGTGCAGCCTCGGTCTCACACACACAGGCACACACACACACACACACACTCTGATGCACTCACACACGCACACTCTGACACACACTCTCACACGTGCACACTCACACACATGCACACACACACACATGCACTCTCACACCCCCACACTCTCTCACACACACACGCATGCACACACACACACACATGCACACATACTCTCGCACAGTGCAAACCTTTCCCACTTTTATTCTTCATGCCTTTTCTGCAAGACCGGGTTCATTGCTGCTGCTTCTAAGACCCAGGACAGCCGGGGAGCAGGGGACAGACTGCTCGCCGGGAGGCTGGGTGTGCATGGCAGGCCGTGGCCGGTCCCTCTGGCTGGGCTCTCTGGGAACCAGGCCACCGCCAGGGTAGCCTCTCCATGGTTGTCACCACAGACGTGTCTGGCCGTCCCCCTTTTCCGGAACTCCCGGGCGCCTCAGGCTCGGTCCGATGGGTCACTCCTCTTGTATATTTTTTCCTGATTTCCCTCCTTCATGGCTGCGTATCTGGCTAATGTGAAGAGGTAGTCGCTGAGTCTGGAGGGGCAGAGACAAGCAAAAGGAACGATTTGAAGAGAGATCAGGTCCTCCCATGAGCCTTTGAGGGAGCACTGTCAGTCACACGGCCCTAGGAGCATCTCGCGGGGCCAGCAGGCGCGCAGCCAGCTCTAGCCTGACGGATGGCTGTGCCGGAGCGAGGCCAGCTTCGGGGAGAGCCCAGGGCCCGAGGGGGCTGTTGACCTTGCCCTAGGCCCCTGGCCAGGTAACTCTGGACCAAGCTGCCTTCCCCACCTTCGAGTGGCCAGGCCTGAGCTGCCTGGTGGTCTTGCGCCATGTGGATTCTGAGCCCGGGATTCTGCAGGTAGAACCCACACCTGGGTGGTGCTGGCCACGCCTGGAGTAGAGGGCCCTGGGCAGGGGTCTCGGCCACGGCGTGATGGACGTTCTGAGTGGGCCCGCCCGCTGTACTGCATGGTGCTGAGCAGGGAACCTGCCTCCACCCGCGGATGCCAGCAGTGCCTCCCGCTGGCCACTCTTGACCACCAGACAGCTGCAGATCCTCCCAGTGCCCCAGCCGAGGGCACCGGCCTGGGGTCCCCTGGTCCCCAGCCCCTCTTGCCCGTTCTTTGAGTCATCAGTGGGGGGGGGGTCTGTGTGAGGCCTTCTCAGGGGTGGCAGTGGAGGGAACACGAGAGATGGCGGCATGACCACCCGTGTAGTCTTCCTGCCTCTCGGCTCCTCCCTCCTCCAGCCCCCGCCCATCCCAGCCCCCAAGGCCGGCTCCACGCCATCCCCCGGGTCAGGTCCTCCTCCCCCACTGCTGGCTTTCTTGGGGCCAGTGGCAGATCTGCTCTGGGTGAGACGCCCTCCTGGATCCCATGGTCCTGGAGGGCTGAGACATCAACTGACCTGGCCCACACTGCACCGGGGCTCCCCAGGGGTGCTGCCACCATAGAGCCGTTCCTCACTTGCTGTCCAGGAGGGGAGGAGCTGCTCAGGAGCCAGGCCCAGGCCACGTCCCAGCGGCAGCAGTGTCCACAGTTCAGGGGCTGGGCCACGGCCGTGAGGCCGCCCACAGGTAACCAGGTATCCTCCTGTTCTCCTCCAGCTGCCGGCCCCGGGGCTCTGGCCTGGCCCACATGCTCCTGCACGAGCCCGGGCTGGGGCAGAAGCCAGCAGAGCAGAGGGAGTCCTCCCTGGGCCTGGCTCACTGGCTCCTGCACCGCGCCCCCGAGCTGTCTTCTCTCGGTTCTGGCTGTCCCGGGGCCTGGCTGGCTGAGAGGGTCTGTCCCCTGGGCTCCCTGCTCAGTCACCGCTGAGATGCCTGACGAGGCCTTCCCTGAGCCCCCAAGGCTGCCCCTTGCTACTGCCCTTTGTAGTCGGTTTTAATTTGTATTTGTTTATTTGAGAGGCAGAGACAGGAGGGGAGAGAGAGAGATCAGGAGGAAGCACTCTCCTATGCTGGCACGCTCCCCAGACGCCCACAATGGCCAGGAACTCAATCCAGGTCTCCGCCGTGGGTGGCAGGAGCCCAGTCACTCGAGCCATCGTCACTGCGACACAGGACCTACATTAGCAGCAAGAGCTGGGAATTGAACCCAGGCACTCCAGAGTGGGACGTGTGCATCTTAAGCGTTAGGCCAAACACCTGGCCCTGCCCGGCCCTCGGCAGACACTCCCGAATGCTGTGTGAATGGCTGAGGGAGCGCATTCCGCCCGGGCCTGCTCCCCGGGCCCAGGGCATTGCTCTTCTCCCCCACACACATGCCCGGTTTTCTGGAGGAAGGGGACGCTCCCGCCTGCACCTCGGTACCTGTTTAAGAATTTGGCCACGTTCGCGTCGGTCTCTCCCATCTGGACCAGAGGCACCACGCTGCAGAGGAGGAAACACCGTCACGTACGTCCACGCGCTTTACCACCTGCTGCCGCCTGCCCCAGCCTGCACGAACCCAGCTGGCATCATGGGAAACTCCTCCCCCGGGGTCTGAAGATCCACCCCCCGCCGCCGCCCTCCTTGGACCCATCACAGGAGGGACAGAGGGTGGCAGAAGCAGGCTGGCTGCCCCCCACCCCAGCCTGCTGGCCTCGTGCGCTGGGCCGGGGCGGAAGCCCTCCCTGGACGGGGTGTAGGGGAAGGAGGACACGGACCCTTAATTCCCAAGAGGCCACCGTGCTAAGCCCATTTTTTTTTTAACAACTTAGGGCTTCACAGGGGACATAAAGACCCCAGGAAGCCAAGCCCCCAAGTGCAGCCGGGACTCTGGACTGTGTCTGCTGGGTGCAGGTGTTCCGGGGGTGGGTGCCGTCTGCAGAGACGCGGCAGCTCTGGCCAGGCCCTCCGGGTGCCTCACTGCTGCTGCGTAACTCAGCGTCAGGGCTCTTGACCCCACTCAGAGCCACACGACAGGCAGAGGGGGTGGCCAGGCGGCCTCTGCGGTGTCCAGCCATTGGTCATCAGGAGCTCTGCTGGGGGCGTGGCTTTGTGCAAGGGACTGCTAGGCTGGCCCTGGCCGTGAAATCACTCTCTGAGCCCCATCTCCTGACCCAGGAGAGGGGGGCTGCTGTCGCATCTGCCCCAGGGCCATGAAGGGGAACCAGTGAGGTCGTGAGCATGCCGGGCCCGGCACAGCCCCATCCGTGCCACCAAAGCCAGCTGTCTTTCTGCTCCTCGGTATGGGTGGTGCAAACAGAATTCTGCCACCACTCTCCCCACGCCCCCCTGGAAAGGCTTTCGGGGGACCAATTCTTCCCAATTCTGAGCTGGGCTGGCAGGGGGCTGGTCTGCGGGTGGCTCCCTCCTGGCCCCCCAACAGCTGCGTGGGTCCCTCTGGGCCCTTCCACATCAGCCACCCGCACAGCCTGGAGCGCAGCACCAGCTTCCTGTCACTCTGGGCCTATGCATGTGTGCCGGCCATGACGTCATCTGTTGGCTTGGTTGGTCCCGTGTCACCGTCTGCTACCTGGGGGCGGGGCCTGGGCCTGTCCTGGTCACCCTGGCCCGCCATGCATGCCCCCTGCCCATCTCCCGGGCCCCCTTACCGCCTCTCAGCTCGGCGGCACACGGCCCGGCAGAGGTGCAGTGCAGAGCTGCTCTTGCCGCCAGACTACAAGGAGAAAGCAGGAGTTGGCAGGGTTGGCCTGGGGGCAGGGGCAGGTGCACCTGCTACAGACGCTGTCCAGGCCCTGCCCCTCACCACAGTGTTCTGCGTCCAGGAGACCTGCCAGCACACCCACATGGCACCCCCCTCCAGAGTGGCCAGGGCTGGGGAGGGACTGCAGAGGACATGGGTGATGGGGGTGGGGGTGGGGGCTGGATGGCTGCCTCCGTCACTGGGAAAAGCCACGGTGAGGGTTGCTGTGAGGGCCTGTGTGTTTCTGTCGGAGCACCCAGCCCGCAGCCACCCCACCCCCACCCCACCCCCACCACCTACAGGCAGAATGAAAGCCGTGAGCGGGGGCAGCTGGCGGGTGTACTCGTCGATCCAGCGTTCCAGCTCCAGGACGGGCCCCTCCCCGAACGCCGCGTGCTCTGGGGAATCCAGGAGCAGACACACTGCCGGGGGCTGTCGCAGGCTAGACCATCAAGGAGTTGCCCCCATCCCCTCTGCTCGAGTGGCCGGCAAACCGCTTCCCCACCCCGGCTCTGGAGGCACCTTCCCTCCCAGGGGCCACGTGCAAGGCTGGCCGGCCCGCCCACGGCTTCTCTGGGCTCTGGGCTCCCAGGGGGCAGCACCCAGGACACAGTGCTTCCCCCCTCCCCCACCCCGGGGCCCTCAGAACACCCGCAGCAGACTCAGAGAATTACTTAAGTGGGCCTCCCTGGCCGAGGAGCGCGGTGTCGCCAAGGTGGAGCCGATGTCCTGCAAGGTGCACTGGATCTGGGGGAGCGACCAGAGGTGAGTGAGGACCTCACAGGGCAGGCTGGGTGGAGACAACGCGGCTCCAGGGAGCGAACTTTGGGTGCAGTGGTTAGGAGATCCCAATACCCAAGTGCCCCGTTCCCGATTCCACCTTCCTGCTAACGGGCACCTTGGGAGCCAGCAGGTAAGGGCTCAAGTAGTTGAGTCCCTGCCACCCATGTGGGAGACCTGGATTTAGTTCCAGGCTCCTGGCTTCAGCCTGGCTCAGCCCTGCTGTTGTAGGTATCTGGGGAGCTCTGTCTGTCTGTCTTCCTTTCCCTCTGCCTTTTTTTTTTAAAGATTTATTTATTGGGGTTGGCACTGTGGCGTAAATAAAAAAAAGATTTACTTATTTATTTGAAAGACAGCGTTACAGAGAGAGGGAGAGACAGAGAGAGAGGTCTTCCATCTGCTGGTTCATTCCCCAAATGGCCTCAATGGCTGCAGCTGGGCCAGGCCAAAGCCAAGAGTCTGGAGCCTCTTCCAGGTCTCCCATGTGGGTGTAGGGGCATATTCACTCGGGCCATCCTCCACTGCCTTCCCAGGCCATCAGCAGGGAGCTGGCTCAGAAGTGGAACAGCTGGGACTCGAACCAGCGCCCATGTGGATGCCGGTGCTGCAGGCAGATGCTTAGCTTACTACTCCACAGTGCTGGCCACTCTCTCTGCCTTTCAAATAATTTTTTAAAATCTTTTCCACATGCAGAGATGGCCCTGGGCATGCTGGGAAATCGTGCAGAGCAGGTTCAGTAGGGACCGTGGGGTCTTGGCTCTGCGTGAGCCCCTGCAGGGGCCCTGGTAGAGCTTGTGTGGGGTCTGCGGGAGACTCCTGTGGCGGCAGCTGGGTTACCCGGACAAGCACCAAGTGCCCAGCAAAGGGCACCTGGAATCTTCTGGGCCACCAGTGCATGCCTGTGCAGCCAGACCCACAAACGCCAGCTCTGACTCTGGGCCTGGGCCCGGGCGGCCAGTGGGGAGGAAGGTGGAATCTGACCCCTGGTTAGATGGCCTCTGTGACGGCGTGCGAGGAGCAGGCGCAGTGGATGCGCCAGAGGCTGCCCACCCGGCACTGGACTGGAACCTTCCTGGGGCACAGACGGGCAGACTTGGGTGTTACCTCACTGCTCAGGTTCAATGTCTTCTTGGTGGCAGGAGTGATACCATCCCCTTGACCCTGGCTGTGGGGCCTGGACACGTGTGTTTTTTTTTAAACTAGAGAGGAGAGTCTTTCCGTCCTGGCTCCCGGCTCGGGTCTGCACCGGTGCCCTCTGAGCGCAGCTTCAGCGTCCCACGCCAACCTCTCCATCCGCCGCCAGGATCGGCCCCTTCCCTAGGTTCCTGCACCCTCTCCCCTCAGGCACACTGGGCGTGTTAACCTGCCTGCTCACCTGTCTGCCTCCCCACCTGGGCTGGGTGCTGTGAGGTGGGGTAGGGGCCCTGTTTTGCAGGGAGCGTGGCCCATCTTTTGTCTTTTCCCTCTGCAATCCTGAGGCATTCCAGGAGCGTGGCCCGTCTCTGTGGGAGGCCCTCCTCCCTCCTAAGAAACAGAGTAGGTGGGGTCGGTGCTGTGGCATAGCGGACTAAGCCTCCGCCTGTGGCGCCAGCATCCCATGTGGGCGCCGGTTTGAGTCCCGGCTGCTCCTCTTCCAATCCAGCTCTCTGCTGTGGCCTGGGAAAGCAGTAGAAGATGGCCTGGGTCCTTGGGCCCCTGCACCCGCATGGGAGACCTGGAAGAAGCTCCTGGCTCCTGGCTTCGGATTGGCCCAGCTCTAGCGGTTGTGGCCCTCTGGGGAGTGAGCCAGCGGATGGAAGACCTCCCGCTCTGCCTCTCCCTCTCTCTGTGACTCTACATGGCAGGGCTTCCCAGAGCTCCTGGCGTGGGCAGAGGCACCTCACAGAGTCTGGCAGTCTTGGTGCCATTGCTACGTTGGACTGGGTCACTCTGTGGTGACGGGAACTGTCCTTGCACTGCAGGTCATTTGGCTGCGTCTTTGGTCTCCACTCCCTAGACACCAGGACCTTGCTCCCTGCGAGTCATGGAGATGGGAAATGCCTGCAGACACTGCCAAGGGTCCCCGGGGCTGAGAACGGCTGCACTTGATACACACCCCCCCACCCCCACCCCTTAGCACAATCTTCACGGCTCGCCTGGGACGCCAGGTTGTCTGTGTACGTCCCCACTTTACAGATGAAGAGACTGAGGCTCGCAGAGGGAGAGTGAGTAGCCCCAGGCAATTCAAAGAGGGACGATGGTCAGGTGGGGAGCCAGTGACGGTCCCCAGGCCTCAGGGAGGGAGAAACCCCAGCTCGGGGCGAGACAGCGTTACTCACTTTCTGAAGCTCTTCGGCAAACGGGTGGCCCTTCTCCGTGATGAACTCCATAGCAAACCTGCAGGAAAGGAGGGGGAAGGATCTCTAACGTGACACACGGGCGCCCGGGTGTCAGCCACTGAGCTAAGGCAGCTTGTTTGCCAAGGTACACTGATCCCGGCCAGAAGTTCCCTCTCCACGGGTCTGTTGACACAGCACTGAGCAGACGGTGGCACAGGCTCTGTCCTGCAGGACCGGGAGGCGTGAGTAGGGGACCCCCCTGTGCAAGGGGAGACAGTAGACTGAGGTCTGTGCTCTGCAGGAAAAGAGCAAGAGAGTCTAACCCGGCCTTGGCTAGCGGGGCAGGGAGGGCTTCCTGGAGGAAGCCATGCTGCAGGTGGACTTGGAAAGCTGAGCAGGAGTCCCCCAGCCAGGCAGGATGTGGCAGGGAAGGCACAGGACGGCACCCTGGCTCTGCTTGTCCTTCCTGTGCCAGCCAGAGTCCTGGCAGGGAACAGGGAGTGGGTGTTGGAGGGATTCCCAAAGAAGAACTTCAAGAAAGGACTGCTCACAGAGGGGCAGGCAGAGTTACAGGAACTGAAAACGGGTGGCAAAGACCAGCAGGAGCCTGAGCAGCAAGGGAGAGACAGACAGAGAGGGAGATACACACACACACACACACACACACACACACACACAGAGAGAGAAAGAGAGAGAGGAGAGAGAAAGGTCTTCCACCTGCCGGTTCACTCTCCAGACGGCTGCAATAGCAGGAGCTGGGCCAGGCCGAAGCCAGGAGCCAGGAGCTCCATCCGGGTGTCCCATGTGGCCAGCAGAGGCCCAAGCACTTGGGCCATCTTCTGCTGCTCTTCCCAGAAGCATGCGCAGGAAGCTGGATTGGAAGCAGAGCACCCAGGACCTGAACCGGCACCCCGATAGGGGATGCCTGCACCACAAGCAGTGGCTGAACCCCCTGCACCTCAACACCAGCCCCAGGACATTATTCACAAAGAGAGAAAGACACAGCTGCTGCCTGGCCGATGCTCCTGTGACCCGGGCCAGTGGCAGGTGCCAGCAGCCCCCAGGAGCAGCTGCCCAGGTCCTGCCTGCCTGCCCCTCCTCCACCCCCACGCTGTGGCCCCACGGAGGCAGGGCTGGGGCTGTCTGCTTGGCAGGAGCTGGTGCATGGAGACGCGGGGTCAAGTTTGCCAGAACCCACACATGGGGCTCCCTGGCCTCCTGCCGCACATCAGCTGAGAGACGGTGGCTCGTGGGCTTGAGGAGTCTAAGCAGCTGGGGCTGGCATGCAGCTCCACTCCCTGGGCCCCCTTCATCTCGTGTTGCCTTCCTCCCCTGCTGGTGGGTTCGCCACACGCCCTCCCATGATGGGCCCTGCCAACATCCCCGCTCAGCTCCACCATCGAGCCGCAGGCGCCCCAACCGTGGGAGGGAGGACGAGAATCGGGGTGACAGCCTCTCACATTCCTGCCGCACACACACGCACATTCTAAGGGTGCAACGTGGGGTGATCTTGCTGAGCCCCCCAAGAACCCAGCGCGATGCACACTAATGCCAGGGTCATCTGACAGAGCAGTAGGCGCAGGCTCAGAGAGGCAGCTGATTCACCTCGAGTCACACAGCCGGTCAGCTGTGGTTCCGGTTTTGAAGCCGCTCTGATTCAGCTCTCCCGATCCAACACGTGATACTGTCAACAGCGTGCTGAGCGTGGTGGACTGCACAACTCTTCTCAGACCCTGTGATACCAGGCCCGTGCACGTGATGGGCTCTGGCCAACGAGGTGTGGGTAAATGGGACAGCTGGCTCCCCAGGAAGCCTTCGAGCCAGCGTGAGCTCCCCCACAACCTCTTTGCCTCTGCAACAGTGACAGGTGCTGTCCCAGGCACCGGCCATCCTGCCAGGCTGCGTCCCAGAGCACAGGCCGGATGGAGCCAAACCAGACTCAACCCATGATGCACCGTAGTAAGAATAGGAAACAGAGCCGGCATTGCGGCGCAGCGGGTAAAGCTGTCGCCTGTGATACCACTTTCTCATCTGGGTGCCGGTTTGAGTCCTGGCTGCTCCACTTCTGATCCAGCTGCCTGCTAATGTGTGTGGGAAAGCAGTGGAGGATGGCCCAAGTCCTCGGGCCCCTGCACCTGCTTGGGAGACCTGGAAGAAGCTCCTGGCTCCTGGCTTCAGATCGGTGCAGTTCTGGCCATTGCTGCTTTCTGGAGAGTGAACCAGTGGATGGAAGACCTCTCTCTCTCTCTCTCTCTCTATATATATATATATAGAGATATAGATATAGATATAGATATATATAGATCTTTGGCATTGTACACCATGGACTAGGGAGTTATCACCACAGCAGGACCCAGCGCGTCCTAATTCCCTGAGCCAGCCCTTCTAAACTGTGGCTTATTTGAAAAACAACATACAGGGGTATAGTGCAGTGCATTAAGGCAACACTTGCGACACCAGCATCCGGTATCAGAAGGCTGGCAAGTCCAAGCCATTCTGCTTCCGATCCAGCTCCCTGCTAATGCGCCTGGCAAGGCAGCAGAAGGTGGCCCAAGTACTTGGGCCCCTGCACTCACGTGGGAGACACAAATGGAGTTCTTGGTCCCTGGCTTCAGCCTGGCCAAGCGCCGGCTGTTGCAGGCATTTGGGGAGTAAACCAGCAGATGAAGATCTCCCCCCTCACCCCCACCATCTTGGGCTCTGCCTTTCAAATAAATAAATAAATATTAAAAATATAAAATACAGTGAAAAACACGCACAAAAGGGGTCCCATGAGGAGCTCTGGTTCTCACTTGTTGCTCAGCAAACGATGGAAGCTGAGTGGCACAGACCTGCTCCCCTGAAAGGTGAGGGAAGCCGGCCGGGCGGGGGCCATGTGTAGGTGCAGGAAGAGGCGGGGCCTGTGGAGCTGACCACTGCCTGAGCCCCCAGGTGCAGGAAGAGGCGGGGCCTCGTGGAGCTGACCACTGCTGAGCCCCCAGCAGGCGGGAGAGCGCTGCACTCATTCCACGCACTCGTGCCCCACTCGAAGTCAACCCCAAGGCCAAAGGCCGCCCCTCACCCGATGGCAGAGCTTAGCTCGTCTGTGGTGCCCAAGGCTTCGAACACTTGGTCATCTTTGGGCCTCCTTTCTCCTGTGAAGGTGCTGGAGAACCCTGTGAAAAAATACGCAGCCACCCACATTAAGAATTCTTCCCCTGATACGCTGTGTGTGTGTGTGTGTGTGAACTTTCCACCTGAAGTGTAACAGACACAAAATACTCAGATCCCAAGTGTACAAGCCGACGGAGTCCCACCCAGAGCCCCTCACACTCCTTATGCTCCATACCCCAGGAGTAGCCACTACTCTCACATCTTTCCTTTCTAGTCCCGGCTGCTCCTCTTCCGATCCAGCTCTCTGCTGTGGCCTGGGAAAGCAGTAGAAGATGGTTCAAGTCCTTCGGCCCCTGCACCTGCATGGGAGGCCTGGAAGAAGCTCCTGGCTCCTGGCTTCAGATCGGCGCAGCCAACTGGGGAGTGAACCATTGGATGGAATACCTCTCTCTCTCTCTCTCTCTGCCTCTCTTCTCTTGTGTAACTCTCTCAAATAAAAAAATAAATAAATCTTTTTTAAAAAATCACGAACTGGAGCTGTTAAGACACAAACCTCCTGCATTGGAGAGCCTGGGTTTGAATCCCAGCTCCAGCTCTTGACCCCGGCTACCACAGGCCCCAGGAGACAACAGTGCTGCTCAAGGGGCCAGATTCCTGCCACTCACATGCGCGACCTGGATCGAGTTCCCAGCTTCTGACTTTGGCCTGGCCCAGTTCACAGCCATCATGGGAACCGGGGTGAACCAGCAGATGGAAGCTCTCTCTCAAATTAAAAAAAAAAAAAAAAAGAGCAAGTCCTAACCACCTTGCTAAAGAAACAGAACACACGTGTGTGTACCATAGACACATGGGTAGATCCCACAGGCAGCAAAGCGCTCCGTGTGCCTCTGTGTAGGTCACTGCCCCTGCCTGCCCCTGACTGTCAGCCCCCCTCGGGTGTTGCCAGGAGCGGGCCTGGCAGTCACCCATGGGCGGAGGGATTCTGTGACACACAGCAAGTCACAGCACATCCTCAGAAGGGCCCCCCTGTGGCTGTGATGGGCCAAGACCCACAAGTCCAGGCCCCTCGGTCAGCACGTCTGAGCAGAGAGCAGCGTCCACGCTACACACGTCACCGAGCATCCCCCGTCCCGGCCCACGGGCGTGACCGCTGCGTGCTCATCCTCACAGCTCTAGCACGTCTTCCCTCCCAACCTGTAGAGAAAAATGGAGACGGCCGCTTACAGAATCGGCCCTGGGTCCTGGTAGCACCCCATCCTGCACCCGCCCCAGGCCGCCCTCCACAAGCTCAGCCCTGCAACAAGCCGTGTCCAGCACCCTCTCACGGAGCCACCCGGCCATGCCCCTGCTGGGCCGGCTCCCTCCTAAGGAGCCAGCTGGCCCCATTTTGTGTGAGTGGAGGTTGCCCCCCTGGAGGCCTCTGGCTGGGGGGCACAAGCAGGACCATCTGATCCTTATTATTCTTACACATTTTCTTCCCCCTCTTTTTCAAAAAGATTTATAATTTATTTATTTAGAAAGATTATAGAGAGATAGAGGGATAGACAGAGAGATTGTCTACCTACTGGTTCACTCCCCAGGTAGCTGCCACAGCCAGCGCTGGGCCAGGCTGAAACCAGGAGTCAGGAGCTTCATCTGGGTCACCCACGTGCATGGCAGGGACCAAAATACTTGGGCCGTCTTCCACTGCTTCCCCAGGCGCATTAGCAGGGAGCTGGATCAGAAGCGGAGTAGCCGGGACTTGAACCTGAGCTCAGATACAGAATGTCAGCATCCCAAACAGCGGCTTAGCCCACCACGCCGAAACACCAGGCCCTCTGTACTTTTTCCTTTCTCTTTTCTTTCTTGTGGTAACATATAAAAAACATAAATTTTCCCATTTTGACCATTTTTAAGTTTATAGACTGGTGGCATTAAGTACATCCTATGCATCTCTCCCTCCCTCCCTCTCTTTCTCTCTCTCTCTCTCTCTATATATATATATACCAACATATATTTTGATCTATAACATATTGATACATTCTTCTGTACCTTATTTCTACAGCCAACTTATATTTGATCAAGGATCTTTTTATTTATTTATTTTTTGACAGGCAGAGTGGACAGTGAGAGAGAGAGACAGAGAGAAAGGTCTTCCTTTTGCCATTGGTTCACCCTCCAATGGCCGCCGTGGCCGGCATGCTGCGGCCGGCGCACCGCGCTGCCGATGGCAGGAGCCAGGTACTTATCCTGGTCTCCCATGGGGTGCAGGGCCCAAGCACCTGGGCCATCCTCCACTGCACTCCCTGGCCACAGCAGAGAGCTGGCCTGGAAGAGGAGCAACCGGGACAGAATCCGGCGCCCTGACTGGGACTAGAACCCGGTGTGCCGGCGTCGCAAGGTGGAGGATTAGCCTAGTGAGCCGTGGCACCGGCCCCTTATTTCTTCTATACACTATCATGTTCTAGTAGTTTTCAAATTATCAAAGTAATATATGGGCCGGCTTGGGCCATCCTCCACTGCCTTCCTGGGCCACAGCAGAGAGCTGGACTGGAAGAGGAGCAACCGGGACTAGAACCCGGAGTGCTGGCGCCACAGGCAAAGGATTAGCCTACTGAGCCACGGCGCCAGCCTTGTAACCTACTTTTAAGAAGTTTGTTTTTTCACTTGATGGGCAGACAGACACAGAGAGAGAGCTGCCATTCACTGGTTCATTCTCCCAATGCTTGCGACAGTCAGGCCTGGAGCCAGGAGCTCCATCCAGACGTCCTAGGTGGCTGGCTGGACACCAGTCACTTGGGCCATCCCTGCTGCCTCCTGGGGTCTGCACAGCAGGAAGCTGGAGGCAGGAGCCAGCGATGGGGATGAAGCCCAGGGGCTCTGCCAGGGTGTGTGTGTGTGTGTGTGTGTAGCAGGTGTCCTAACTACTAAGCTAGAGGCCCGCCCCTGCCGTCCGTTTTCACGTCACGCCCCGGCTCTGTGGTGTCTGTTGAGATCTGCGGTGTGCTTTTCTGGAAGAACATCTAGGTGGGCTCTGCCACGTGGCTTTCCTTACACTTGTCACTGTCCCCGCCCTACCTTTGTCTCCCGTTTTGGTGTAAATCCTGGGGATCTTGGGTGTCTTCGGGGAAGGTTCTAGCCTAGTACGAAACAGACATGAGGACAGGTGAGTGGGGCTGGCTTACACCAAGGGGCTGCTCCCTCCCCGGCCTCCGCCACCCTCTGCCGGCATCTCTCCCCTCCATCCCTTCGAGTTGCAAACCCTTTGTGGGCCACTTGGGCCTTGCCCACGTCCATGCCTGCAGAGGGGCTGCTCAACAAACACCCCCCGATGGACCACTCCCCAGAGCGATCACAGGCCTGCCCTCCGGGAATTGTTCCCGGGCTCTCTCCACGACCTACTGCCTTCATCACCCTGCAGAGGACACAGCAGCTCACAGCAAGGGATGCACCTGCCTGGGTCGCGAGGAAGGCAGGTGTAGGCCGGGGATCTGTGCCCAAGACTCCAGAGCCCAAAGTCTCACCTCCACCCTAACAAGTCAGGGCCTCGTGCAGGCCCAGAAACTAGAGCCACTCCCACCCTATGAGGCTTCGAGCACACACACTTGCAGAACTGCCAAAGCAGGGTTCAAAACTGGCTTCTGCGAACAGCCACCTGTTTGCAGGTGACTCCAAATTAAACTGTGGCATTACATGGTTAGTCAAAGGTTTAATGATTGCATCTATGAAATATGTCAGGGGCCAGTGCTGTGGTGTAGCTGGTAAAACCGCCACCTGCAGTGCTGGCATCCCATATGGGCGCTGGTCTGAGTCCTGGCTGCTCCACTTCCGATCCAGCTCTCTGCTGTGGCCGGGGAAGGCAATGGAAGGCGGTGCAAATCCTTGGGCCCCTGCACCCCCGTGGGAGACCAGAAAGAAGCTCCTGGCTCCTGGCTTTGAATCAGCCCAGCTCTGGCTGTTGTGGCCATTTGGAGAGTGAATCAGTGGCTGGAAGACCTCTCTCTCTCTCTCTCCCTCTTTCTCTCCCTCTCAAATAAACAATAAATAAATCTTTTTTAAAAATAAATAGATCAATCCATAAAAATAATTTATTTTCATCTTATTTGGAAGGCAGAGAGAGAGCACGCGCACGAGCTCCAATTCGCTGGTTCACGCCTTCAAACGCCCGCAGCAGCCAGGGCTGGGCCAGGCAGACGCCAGGAGCCAGGAGCCCCATCCAGCGGCAGGGACCCAAGTACCGGGGCCTTCATCACCCGCTGCCCAGAGTGCGCTGGGGCAGGAAGCTGGAATTGGGAGCGGGGCCGAGACCCCAACCCAGGTGCGCTGATGTGCAATGCGGGCGTGCGAACTGCGTGAATCCATCCGACCCCGAATCCATCAGAGGTCCACCCACTGGGTCTGAGGTCTGGGCTGAGCGCATGGTGCAAGGCGGATGACGACAGCCCTAAGATGGCAGATGGCGCTGGCGTAGCCGTGTCCCGGCTCCCTGCCCTGATCAATGACAGCTGGCCTTCGTTCAGACTGGGGCAAGGAAAGCCTGGCCCCGGCCACGGTGACGTCAGCACACACCGGCGACGTCACGGCGGTGAGAGGACCCACGGCGACGTGCGGTGTGGAGCTACCCTCCCGGCCAGCCACTCACCTGTCCCCGTCCTCCACGCCCTGAGGGCCGCGGCTCTGGAAACGGGGACGCAGTAGCCTGCCGGTGCCAAGGCACCCGCGTAGGCCCAGGCGGCCTCCCAGGCTCCACACAGCCATGCTCCGGGCGACCTGACGGGGGCTGAACCCGTCAGGCTCCCGTCCAGGCCCTGGGAGGACCCCGCCTACAGCCGGCCGCGCCACCGTTCAGCTCCATTTTCCATTGGTTCGCGGCGCTCGCACCAGGGCGGGACACTCCCAACGATCTGTTTCCCATTGGTTTACAGAAGGAGCGGGGCGGGAGAACCCAGGGCGGCTCAGCCGCAATCTTTATTGGCCAATGCTCAAGCCAATTAGTAAAAGGATTCCCGTCTCGCGCGTCCTGATTGGTTGAGCGGAAGGACGCGGCCGCCTTCCCCCCCCCGGAGCATCGGAACTCCGGGATGGAGGAGTGCCGGGGCTGCTTGAGGTCCCACGCAGAGGGGTCGCGATAGCTGCAGGTGAGAGGTCGCGGTCGCGGGGCCGGGTGGAGCGAGGTTCTGGGACCCGGAACGACCCGGGGCCTGGCGCCTAGGTTCTCTGCTGGAGTTTTCCTCAGCTCTCGAGAACCCGCGCTGAGGGGCGGAATCTGACAGGTGTGACCCGAGCTGCGGTGAGCGAGCGCCTACGAGACAGGGGTCACGGGAGCTCCGAGCTCCTAGTGCGCCTGAGCTGCCGCCTTCTGGGACCCCATCTTGCAGAACGGGGACTGACAGGTGTTTTCTGCAGCCTTGCTTTTGGCTGTGATGCGTTGGCAACACCGTCCGCGTCGGGGGGAGCGCGGGGTTCCTTCTGGTGCTCGGCTTCATTTAAAAGTCCACCTTCAGCAGTAGAAATAGTAGAAGCTGAAACCAAGAGGAGCCAGCCGGCGATGAGTAGCTGGCCGGAATCACGCGATTACAACGTGCCGGGCGCTGCTGAGTTTCCTTTGCGTGCATTTAGCCTTCCTAGCGACCCACTGGAGCAGGTGCACGTACTGTCCCCGGGTGGCAGGTGGGGAATCCGAGTTCATGGCCTATTCAGGTGCGTGAGCGGAGGCAGCATCCCTAGGAGTGGAGCGTCTGGGATTTGAACTCGGATCTCTCTGATGTATCCGGGTGACTGCTCCGCGGGCGCAGAGCACGCGCTGGCGGGCAGCCGCCTTTTGGGTTTTAATGCCGGGCTTCACCCGGGCATTCTCTCGTCCTCTCCCTGCTGGTTCTGACACTGGGGATCCGGGCTCTGCCGCCTGGTTTTCACCTCCAGGAGTGCCAGGAGCCATGCTGTCGGAAGCCCTGCTGGTGTCTGCTCCGGGGAAAGTGATCCTCCACGGAGAACACGCCGTGGTCCACGGCAAGGTAGACGACCCCCCCTCGCCCCGGCGCCTTCTGGGATCGGGCAGCCCTTGTGCCTGGCGCGAATCTCACAGGAAGCCCTGGAGCAGAGGCGGGAGAAACACAGGCTGAGGCTCGCCTAAGGGCTTCTCTGGTCCCACTCGGTGAGATCGCGGAGAGCTGTTGTGAGTGGAAGGAGATCCCCCCGGAAGTGAGGGTTTTTTTTGGGGGGGAGGGGTAGACGGTGGAGGACTGGACGCCGGGGCATTGCCAGGCTTCCAACTTCAAAGGGTGACCCAGCAAAGGAGTCAGACTCGGTCTCACTGTCTCATTCCACCCTCACGGCTGTCGCCGCCCCCACCCTACCCCAGGCCCGTCCTCGTAGTCCTGCTGTACACAGGTGACAGTGAGGCCCAGAGAGAACTGGAAACTTTCCCTCACCTATTTTGTAGGCACCAAGGTCCCTGGCAGTTTGGTGGGGTGAGGAGTGGACCCCCAAGCTCCTGTTTCTTTCCGCTCTGCCACCCCTCGTCTCCGTTGCCTCTGCTTCCCTCGGAAGATGCAGTGCTTATGCAGAAGTGATTCCTGGGTGTGGAGAACCCTCTCACGGGAAGGCAGATATCGGCAGGTGGAATTCCTCACTGACTGGTGGTGGCTCTGTGGTCGCTGCGCCACAGCTGATTAGTAGTGCCTGGCAGGGTGGGGTGGCAGTGGCCTGTGTGCTGGTATTTGCTCTCTCTCAGTTCAGCACAGTGACACTGACCTCTTTGGCTCCCATCCTCCGGCTTCTTCTCTAGGTAGCCCTAGCTGTGGCCTTGAACTTGAGAACATTCCTCCGGCTTCAGCCCCACAGCCATGGGCAAGTGGGCCTCCACTTACCAAACATTGGCAGCAAGAGGGCCTGGGATGTGGCCAGGCTCCAGCAGCTGGACACGAGCTTTCTGGGTAAGTCCAGGGACAAAGCAGGTGTGCAGAGAGCCTGGGCCCTGAAGGAGGGCAGAGGGCGGCTGCGTGGTTCTTCCGGGCCCCGCCCCCGGGAGCCCGCGCCCAGCCCTTTTGTCCATGCTGACCCCAGGACACTGGCTCCCTTCGTCAACTGTTTTTTTAGATTAAGGTGTAACATGAGGCACTGAATCTTTGTAGGTTGAGTGAACAAACACACAATGCAAAACAGCAACGCAGACCACCTTCAGCGTACGTGGAAAAGTGGAATTGAAAGATCAAGTTTATTTTGGTGCAAAAAACTTTTGAAATCCAGGCAGGATTTTTTTTTTCATAATAATGCATTTTCCCCTAAACGTTTCGATGACCCCTCCCACGTGCAAGTCTGCATGTCACTGTATAGGACAAGGCCTTGGATGACAGGTAGGTGTCAAACTGACAGTGACAGTTCCTGGGGAGGGGGGCGCTTTGAGAACTGAGGAGTGGACACCAAGAGCCTTATTCTCTGTTATATTTCTTTTAGCAAGGAGGATGTGTTCGAGTTTTGTTATTTTAAAAACAGTAGGGTAGCTTATGCTTTTAACTGGAAAACATAGTCAATAACTGGACGTTATGACTTTTGAAAAAAATCTCTGTTATTGCTCCTCCTCCCCCCCCAGTAATGACTCTGAGCACTATGGGATTAATTCCTCTGGATCAGTTTCGGTTTCTGTGGAGGGACACTGTGATTGATTGAGATAAGGAAAGACTGGTTTTTTTAAACCAAAACTGGGTCTGGTCATACAAATCATTCAGAAATGTCTGTGTCCATTTTCTTCTTTGGTGGATCAAGACTTTTTTTTTTTTTTTTTTAAGATTTATTTGAAAGAGTTACAAAGAGAAGTAGACACAGAGATGGGGGGGGGGGGGCCTTCCATCCTCTGGTTCACTCCCCAAAATGCTGCAATGGCCGGAGCTGAGCCGATGTTAAGCCAGGCGCTTCTTCCAGGGCTCCCACCTGGGTGCAAGGGCCCAAGGACTTGGGCCATCCTCTCCTGCTTTCCCAGGGGCATTAGCAGGGAGCTGGATTGGAAGAGGAGCAGCCGGGACTCGAACCGGCACCCACATGGGATGCTGGTGCTGCCGGCTGGGGCTTTAACCCACTGTACCACAGTGCCAGCCCCAACACTGTTGTTTTGTACCAATAAAGACCTTGGTGCTATCCTTGATTGGGTTTTGCACTTTTTGATCTTTTTGTTATTGTTTTGTTATTGTTTTATTTTTCCCTGAGAGGAAGAGAGAGAGAGAGAAATTTGTCAACTTGGTTCACTCCCCAGATGCTTCCAGTGGCCAGGCCGGGCGCTGGGAACTCACTGCAGATCTCCCACATGGGCACAGGGACCCAGTGCCTTGAGCTGTGCTGCTGGCTCCCAGGGTTTGCACCAGCAGGAAGCTGGAGCAGGCATCAAACCCAGGCGCTCCCAGGTGGCGGCCCGTCTCCCAAACACCTGCCCACTCTGTGCCAACTTTTGATAGCCCTGGGAACATTGCATCTGTCCACGGGCAGGCAGGTTTCAAGTCAGCGGAGCCCTGGCCTATGCCAGAGCGGGAGTTTGTTCTCCGATTCGGCTTCCTCTCTGGGCAGATGCCTCCTTGTTTGCAACAGGGTTCTCGCTAGGATGGGGCAAATGAGAATCCTCTAGGGTGTTTTTTCTAAACCACACCTGACCCCTTTACACCTCTTCCTGTTCTCTCATGGAAGCCACAGCCACTCCCCCAGGCTGTGCGGGAATGGAGTGAGAGTGGACATCCCAGGGGCCGGCGCCACGGCGCACTAGGTTAATCCTATGCCTGCGGCGTCGGCATTTCGTGTGGGCACCGGTTCTAGTCCCGGTTGCTCCTCTTCCAGTCCAGCTTTCTGCTGTGGCCCGAGAGGACAGTGGAGGATGGCCCAAGTGCTTGGGCACTGCAGCCGCATGGGAGACCAGGAGAAGCACCTGGCTCCTGGCTTCGGATCGGCGCAGCTCGCCGACCATAGGGGCCATTTGAGGAATGAACTAATGGAAGGAAGACCTTTCTCTCTGTCTGTAATTCTACCTGTCAAATAAATAAATAAAATCTTTAAAAAAGAGAGAGAGAGAGAGTGGACATCCCCATCTTAGAGCAGCTACTTCCATGTCTAAGCTCATGGTGCCTCTGAATCGCCTCATTGCCTTTAGCCGCACAGACGAGTTGTTCTTCAAATCATTTGTGGAAATGGAAGTAAAGATAAGTTTATTTTGGTGTAAAAAATTCTGAAATCCATAGATGTGCAAGACCTCCAAAAATTTCACAGAAAATGCACATTATAAAAACAAAACAAACAAAAACTATGCACTGCGTGGGTGTTAAGGCGCTGCTTGGGGTGTGCACACCCCATGTGGGAGAGCCTGGGTCCGCGTCCCAGCTCACTCCCAATTCCAGCTTCCTGCTAATGTGCACCCTGGGAGGCAGCAGGGGATGACTTCGGTACCTGGGTCCCTGCCACCCACGTGGGAGACCTGGATGGAGTTCTGGGCTCCCAGCATCTGTCTGGCCCAGTTGTCGCTGTGAACATTTTAGGGGGTGAATCAGTGGATGGAAGATGTATTTCTCTGTTTCTCTCTGTGTGTCATTAAAAAAAAAGAAAGAAAGAAATTAAAGAGAAAAAAATTTTTTTAATTAAGAAGAAAAAAGAATCACTGCTTTGGAGCCCACCCCAAAAGGCAGGCAGAGCCCCAGAAACTGGCTGTTCACGCCTGGTGCACAGACCTGCCCCGCCGGGCCGGAGAGGTCCCCTGAGACCGTACGTCAGGAGCGTGGGGTGCAAGCAGCCAGCAGGCAGGCACCTGTCTCAGAGCACCCGACTGGGGCGGCCAGGCAGGCTGCCGGGGCCTCCGTGAGTAGTCGTGTCGCCTACGTTGAAGGTGGGCGCTAGGATGGTGACAGCAGGTGCAGGACCTGGGTCAGGCCGTGTTAGTCCACCTCCTGTGGGACGCCAAGGGAGCTCCGGCCTTTCGGAGACTTGCTGTCTCCCAGGGCATGGCACCTGCACCTCTCTTCGAGCAGCCTTTGGTGCCCTCCTGATGGCTGTGGCCCCAGTGAACATGCACTGGGCCCTTGTGTGTCCCAGGATTGAACCAAGTGTGCTCGCATATGTTAGCACTCAGAATTCTCCCGCTTTGGAGGTGCTTGATTCATCCCCATTTCACGGATGTGAAAAGTGAGGTTCAGAGGTCAGGGAGCTCAGGCTACAGAGCTTGTCGGTGGCACAGGAAGTATTCAGATCCCGGGTCTTTCTGAACTCCAAAGCCCAGGCTCTTTTTTTTTTTTTTTTTTTTTTTTTTTTAAGATTTATTTACTTATTTGAAAGGCAGAGTTACAGAGAGAGAAAGAGAGAGAGAGAGGGAGGGAGGGGGGAAGGGAGAGGGGTCTTCCATCCACTGATTCCAAATGGCCGATCCAATCTGAAGCCGGGAGCCAGGAGCTTCTTCCAGGTCTCCCATGTGGGTTTAGGGGTCCAAGGACTTGGGCCATCCTCTACTGCTTTCCCAGGCCATAGCAGAGAGCTGGATTGGAAGTGGAGCAGCCAGGACTCGAACTGGCACCCACATGGGATGCCTGCACTGCAGGCCGGGGCTTTACCCACTGCACCACAGCCCCGGCCCCCAAAACCCAGGCCCTTGACAGCCATTCCTCCCCCATCACAGAGCATTAAACATCTGGGCTTTCCCAGGCACCCCAGCCTGGCTGTGTTCTGTGTATCAGTAATCCGTCCAATATGTATTTCCTTAATGGAGACCCTGAAGTTTCCTGCTGCGGGCGCAGCCGACTCCATTTCACATTCCCTCTAGAACTTGACCCGCAGCTTGAGTGGGAATCGTCCAGGCAAGCTGGCCAGACCTGCCCTGCCTCCCCAGCCTCCCAGGGGAGGAGGCCAGGCTGCTGCACGGGAAAACACTCGCCACCTCCCGTTCCCCCCCTGCCCAAGCCGCCTTTCCCAGGCGCTGACTTTGTGAGAGTGTCCTGTTTTCCCTAATGATCTTTCGGGGAATAATTTAATCCTGCCTTTGATTTGGGTTTTGAATAACGGAAGGTAAAACGCCAGGCCCTGAGTGACTGAACTAGCATTCGCTCTCTGTGCGTGTGCGTTTTAAATGTCTATTAATTAAGCACTTACCATGTGCCAGGACCTGTAGTGAGGATCTTCCATCCCTTATTTAATTACACGCTCACAGCTACGCTGTGATGAGGTACTGCGGCTGTGCCCGTGCCTCTTGTACCAAGGAGGGAAACAGGGCTCAGAGAGGCTCAGTCACATGCTTAAGGCCACACAGCACCCCAAAGCCAAGGCTGCCTGCCCCTCAAAGCTTGGAGTCCACAGATGGACTCAGCCCTGGTGCTGGGACCATACGTTCACAGTCACCCGCGTTCTAATTCTAGCAATGACTCGATTTTTGGTGTTCTGCACCCAAAGCCCTCTCGCCCACTTGTGTTTGCTTCTTTGCCTATGTGACAGAGCAAGGCGACGTCTCCACGCCCACCCCGGAGCAAGTGGAGAAGCTGAAGGAGGTGGCAGGCCTCTCTGTGGACGGTGCGGGGCCCGAGCACCTGGCTGTGCTCGCCTTCCTGTACCTGTACCTGTCCATCTGCCGGAAGCAGAGGTGTGTGCGTGGTCGGGGGAGGATTTCTGTGGGCGCGGCTGGGGCGTGCACCTGCTGCCTTCCGGGTTTCTGATGGCAGTGGGGCTCAGTGCGTGTCTGGCGCCTGGCAGGCCCCTGCGGTGGACCTGCTGTTATCAGTGACAGCCCCCGTAAGAGGGCAGTACCTGGTGCCAGACTCGGAGGAGTCAGCACACTGAGGCCCTGCAGCTAAGCAGTAGGCAGTAGAGCTGGGAAATCCGTTCAGTTCCCTCCAGTGACATTTACACACTCACTCCCGCACTTCTGCCTCCAGTGGAGCCAGAGCCAGATTCTGGTCTCAGATCCATCACACGCCATCTCCCGAGCCAGGCTTCTACAGCTGCCTCTCTTCCGCATCTCACGGGCTCCAGGGACATGGCTCCAAGAAAGTCTGGGAAAGCCAAGCCCCAGAGGGCAGGAGTACTGTTGAGGTGGGGTCACCCAGGGTTGGAAGGCGTAAGCTCGGGAGGCAGGCCGTGCAGGCTCACGCCCCAGCTGTGCCACTTGCTAGCTTGCTTGAACTGCTCAGCCTCTCTGAGCTTCAACTTTCCTCATCTGTAAAATGGGTGCAGTGATCGCACCGAACTCCTAGAGGTTGAACGAGTTAGTTCATCTAAAGTACGTGGCGCAGAGCTAGACTGACATTAGCTGCTGTTAGTAATTTCCTCCGAAGACTCTCTGAGGAGTAGAATTACATGTAAAGTGGGCCTGACGCTGGCACGTGGTGAGCACACTGTTTTCCTCAGGTGTGGGGCTAGAAGGGCAGCCCTGCGCTCAAGCAGCCGCCGCTGCCGCGGGACCCTGCACCCGGCCCAGGATGCCTTCGTAAATGGCCCCACACTTGCTGATGGACACAGGGGTTTTCAAGGGGAAAGGGGCATGTCCCCACCAGTGGGGGGAGCATTTCAGAATCCCCCCACCTGGGGAGGGTGCGCATGTGTAGTTTAAAAAGGCACAGTCAGTCTTGTAATTTTATTTTTTGAATAATTTTATTTACTTGAGAGAAAGAGAAAGTTCCCATCCACTGGTTCACAGTACAAATGCCCACAACAGTAGGGTCAGAGCCAGGCCAAAGCCAGGAGCCAGGAGCTCCATCTGGGTCTCCCACCGGGGTGGCAGGGGCCCAACACCCGAGCCAACACCTGCTGCCTCCCAGGGTGCACACTAGCAGGAAGGTGGAATTGGAAGTGGAACTGGGTGGGGGGAGGATTGGGGGGGCCTGTGCTGTGACGTAGCAGGGGAAACCACCACTTGCCGGGCCAGCATCCCATATGGGTGCCGAGTTGAGTCCCGGCTGCTCCACTTCCGATCCAGCTCTCTGCTATGGCCTGGGAAAGCAGTGGAAGGTGGCCCAGGTGCTTGGGCCCCTGCACCCACATGAGAGACCTGGAAGAAGCTCCTGGCTTTAGATTGGATCAGCCATTTGGGAGTGAACCAGCAGATCGAAGCCTCTCTCCTTCTCTCTCTCTGCCTTTCAAATACACAAATAAATCTTTAAAAAGAAACAAAGTGGAACTGGGATTCCTGCCCAGGCCCTCTGCGATGGGTTGCAGGTGTCCCAAGCTGCATCTTAACCTCTGTCCCAATCACCTACCCTCTCCTACGACTCTTCTGTCTGGAAGATGGGAAGTGTACTTAGTGGAGTCTACCGAACCTTGGGTTTGACCCTCCTCCCTTGGGGAAACACACAGAAGTGCAGTGACTCTGAACTTGGCCAATGTGTGTTTCCCCCGGCCGGGAAGTGGACGCTGTACGTTGGCAGAGGCCTCCCCCTGGACATGGTCAGCTCACTGCCATGAGGCATCAGTGGGTGAACTTCCAGCCAGGGGTCTTCGAGGCAGAGCTAGGGGTGGATTTTTCAGGTAGTTAGGGACAGCATCACAGTGGAAATGACATTGGTGAGGTCTTGAAGGGTCTGTGGGGGAGGGGGGGGTCCCTCTGGGGGATGACGGAGGGTGCAGGGGCCTCCCAGGAGAGGGACCAGCCTGCGCTGACAGCAGGGCCGTGAAGGAGGCCAGCGCGTGTGGGAACAGGAAGGAGTCCAGAGAAAGGGTTGGTGGTGTGCGAGGCCCGGCTAGGGGAGGCCCTGGTGGGATGAGCTGGTGATTTAATGAATCCAGGACCCACTTCCTATCTGATCCGCCATAATCCCCTGGCATCCAGTCGGGATGGATCTGGGGCCAGGACATCTCCCCCCAGTCAGCAAACTGTGCCAGATGCTCGGACGCAGGCCCTAGCAGTGTCTAGTCCTGGGCCCCACTGCCCTCCACAAGTGTCAGGCTTGGTGCCTTGGTGTGTTTCAGGGCCCTGCCGAGCCTGGATATCGTGGTATGGTCGGAGCTGCCCACCGGCGCAGGCTTGGGCTCCAGTGCCGCATACTCCGTGTGTCTGGCCGCCGCCCTGCTGACTGCGTGCGAGGATATCCCAAACCCACAGAAGGACGGGGCCCCCAGCAGCAGGTAACCGCAGCCCCCCCACCCCAGCCGCTGCCCCTCTCAGGTGTCAGGCCCCAAGCCTGGATTCCCCGGCAATGACCACACCGCCACCCTGCGAGGCGAGAGGTGTCATGGCGCCGGTTTACAGATGAGGAAGTTGAGGCCCGGGGCTGCCCAGCTGTGGGGGTGGAGTAGGATTTGAGCCCAGGCTGTCCTCATCCACTGTGTCGGTTCCCCACCTGTCGCGCCCACCTTGGCTCTTTGGGGTTCAAGTGGTATGCAGTGAAAGGAACTTGAGTCAGGGTGTGGAAGGCAGTGGCTTAGCGAACCCCCCCTGCTCTGCACCGATGCACTGTGGGACCTCTGATGCTCCAGCGTCCTCTGTATGGTGGTGACATTGGCCAAGGGTAACAGTGAGGTGTGGCCACACCGTCGTGAATGGAAGGTTGGCATCGGGAGGTGTGTCTCTCAGGGGAGGGCGTCTCTACTCCCACAGGCCTGCCTCATCCCTGCAGGCCTCGCGGGTGGGGACCACATGCGTCAGGGGGGCCGTAGAGCCAGGCCGATGGCAGAGCATCTCAACAGAGTCTTCGTCAGGCACAGGCCCTGTGCAGCCTGGGCCCCGCGCCTTGTAGACCAGGCCCCAGGCTGTGCTGCATCTCCAGGGGCCCACTTGGCTCAGGGAGCCCTCCAGTACCAGCCTCGGGGAGCCCAGCTGTGCCGCTTCGGACACCCTGCCCCTCTCACTTGTCCCCAGGGTGGCCTGCAGAGAAGCTTCCCAGACAGCCCAAGGTGCCAGCATGACCCAGCTGTGTGCCACCAGCCACACGCTCACAGCCTAAGTCGGACCACAAAGCAAGGACATGGGGCACAGGCCCGCAGCCAGGGAGCTCGCTCCTCTGCCCGAGCTTGGCTTTGCCTTCGGTTTTTCTTCCCCACGTGGCATGGAAACGCAGCGGTTTTGATCGTCCAGCCTGTTAGGGTTTCTGTCGCATCTGATGGGTCCTCCTCAGACTCGCGATTGAACTCAGACTGAGCCCCCTAACCACAGCACCCATGGAGCTGTGGAGGGGAAGTCTCCTTCCGCCTTCCCCAGCACTGCTTGTCAGATGCCTGTGTGCGTCCAGAGGCCGCTGTCCTCGAGGGAAGCATCCGCCGGGGATGCGAGGCTGGCCCTGCGGGTGATGCCGGCTGGCTACTGCCAGGAATTTCAGTACAGGTGACCCGCTGGCTGTCATGCTGGGGTTTCAGTTCCTCAGCTGGGAATCAGGGCCGGACCCAGGGATCCCGTGGGCGTCTCTTCTGACCTTGACATTGGGATCCTGGGAGATCAGACTGGGACTCACGAGAGAGGCTATGAGACAGCTGCTCATTACCAGGAGCTAATTGCCGGGCGTAACCTCGGCTGGTGGCAGCCTGGTTGTCCTGGGCTCACGCTGGCTGGCACACCCAGAGGTGGAAGATGACCGTGTGTGTGTGTGTGTGTGTGTGTGTGCACGCGTGCATGTGTGTGAAGTCTTTGTCCTGCTGCCTCTCCCAGCTGCCCCGAAGACCAGCCATTCCGTCTCCGAGCCCTTGGAGAGAGCAGGCCCCAGCGCCGCCCCACTTCCTGGCACAAGCGCTGGGAAGAACGAGGCAGAGTGGGAAAAGGGCCGGGCGCAGCCTCGGGCGCTGCCCACTGACTTCCCTCCTGGTAGCTCACTGCTCCCCAGGCACGCTGCTGCTGCTGCCACCTTTTGGTTCCCAGGCAGGGCCAGCTCGCAGCCAGTTCCAGGCATTGTCCAGGCTGCCCCCTCTGGCCGGCCCCCACGCCTCGCCTGGCTGTCGCCCAGGCACGCTGCTCAGCTGGCACCGCCTTGACTGTAGAGAAATGGCACGGCATCACTGACTCGTTGGCACTTCAATGCCCGCAGCGCACTGCCCTCGGCGCCAGGAAGCCGGGGGCTGTGTCTGTTGTGCTCCTTGCTGTGAGCGTAGTCCTGGGCGCACAGTGAGAGACTAAACATTGGCACCGTGTCTAGTAGGTCGGGGCCCAGGCTCTGAGTCAGCAGAAGTCGATCTGACGTAGCAGTGAATGGCACTGTGACCCTGCAGGTGCTGTTTTAACCTCTGTGGGCCTCGGGTTCCCCTTCTGTCCCCTGGGGCTGCCTCAGGAGACACCTTGCAAGGCACGTGGCCAGCGTTAACCACGCAAGGAGAGCAGACTCAGCGGTTAGGTGGCGGGCCCAGTATCACTCAGCTAGTCAGGGGCACAGGAGGACTGCGGGAATCCCAAGCTGCCCTGAGGGGACCTCAGCCCCCCTACCCTGCCCCTACGGTAAAGACCAAGTTCTGTGTCTCCAGGTGGGCCAAGGACGATTTGGAACTAATCAACAAGTGGGCCTTCCAAGGCGAAAGAGTGATTCATGGGAACCCCTCCGGAGTGGACAACGCCGTTAGCACGTGGGGTAGGCACAGCCTGCATTTGTCCATACACCAGCCCTGTTGGTTTGGGATGAACAGAATGAGTGGGTCTGAGGGAAAGAACATGGTCTTGCTTGGGGGCTGGGGTGGGCAGTGGGAGAAATCCCTGCCTCACACCGTTGAAGTAGAATCTCTGGGCAGGAGGCGGGGTCGTGGGCTCCCCTGGGGAGCCTGCACCATCAGGCTGCAGGACCACGGCCGTGGGGCTTCCACGCCTTCCCTCTGGTGGGCTCCCTGCTGACTGGGCCCACCTGTGCCACGTGGCCATCCAGAGTGCAGCCGGCTGCCTGGAGGTGAGGGGCGGGGCACCGTGTTCCTGGCGGAGCCTGCAAGGGCCTTCTCGCCCTGTTGGACCTGAGGCTTGAGTGACCGAAGCTGAGATGACGACAAGTCATGTCATTTATCCTGCTCCCTGATGGTGCAGAACTCTGACCCCTACCCAAGGTCCAGCCCTCTCCCAAGAGGCCAACATCCGTGGCTTTGCTAAGCGCAGACCCCCACCCTTTTCTCTGCAGGAGGAGCGCTGCGGTACCAACAAGGGAAGATCTCAGCTTTGCAGAGGTAATGGGGGTGGAGCCACCCATTGCAGCCTGGCCACACCCACCTGCTCGAGGGGGCGGGCTCTGTGTCGCTATGACGTCACACCCGGACAGGTGTCCTGGACTTTCCCTCCCCTGCGTGGCCCCCACAGTCCCCTGGGGCAGGGAGGGGGACCCAGCAGCTGCTTTTTCCTTGCCTGCTTCTCCTGAGCTTCAGCAGAGGGGAAGTCGTGTGTGGCTGTGGCCCCGGACCCCAGGCTGCTCAGTCACTTACTCGTTCATTCATTCACTCAGGAAACAGGAGTTGGTGTCGTCCTGTGTTCCTGGTGATGCTAAGCCAGGGCCTAGGGATATACAGCAGACTGTCAGCCCCAGTGTCTCAGAGCCCTCGGTCTGGCTGGGGGCGGGGGCGTGGGGCCAGGCATGCACCCAAGAGCCACTGGCCATGAACATGAGAGTGGAGTGGTGTGGGCGGAGGCGCAGCAGGCGAGGCAGGCCAGAAGCCCACAGGAGGCTCGTGAGCGGCTTAGGGCAGAGGGGACGTTCGGCGGCTGTCAGTCTGATGGATGTTTCTTCGCCCCTCCCTCTGGGGTAACGAAATACACATGCTAAATTCCAGCTTCCCCTGTTCCATCTGCACCCACGGTGGAAACGTTAGGCACAGGGAATTAAATAGGAGGCCGGCAGGAGCCAGGCGCCCTCTTGGCCGACCCCTAAGCCCCTGATCCAGTTGTGGGGTGGCACAGTGGGCCTTCCCATAGCCATGAGGGTCCCAGGGCTCCCTTGCTCTCTCTACCTTTTCCCAGTGTGGTCTCCTTCGCAGCCATGGCCCATTGCCCTGTGAGCTGGGCCACTGTGTTGAGCGGCCCAACGACTCGGCGTGCTGTGCTGCCTGCACCCCCCGGGCTCTTCCTGTACCTGCCCCAGCTGCTTCTGAATCCAGGCCTTTTTTCTTTTTTAAAAAAATTTGATAAGCCCTTGAGTCGACAAGCCTGCCCTTCTGAACCCTGGGGTTGCTCAGTCATGGCCCTGGATTATTGACTTCTGGGTCATTCCTCGTGGTGGAGGTGCATGAGAGGGGGCTCAGAGTGCACCCTGGATGGCGGGTGCACTGCTCAGCTGTGGTACCCAAAGATATCAGCAGAGATCCCCCCACCCCTGCCCCTGTGCCCTGGAGGGCACGAGGGGCACAAGCCCCCTTAGCAAAAACCCTGCTCTTCGAGGAGGAAGCAAGCAGCGGGAGGGCAGACGGCTTCCCCTGGCTGCTCTGGGAGTCCTTGCTGGTGGAGCCTCCGGGGCCTGGCTGCAAGATGACTGTGCTGACTGTTGGGCTTCCCGAAGAGCAAGTGGAGGGTCCTGGGTATCTGGGCACCTGGGTTGGCTGGAGGAGGCAGTCACGATGGCATTGCCCAGAGAAGGCGTCCCCAGGGTTCCGAAGCGGCCGAGTGTGACCGGGAGGGCATCATCAACGTGGCTACAGATATCTGGGCAGTCTTCCTGGAGGTGGTGGCATTCCATCCACTCAGTTTCCCGAGAGCCCGTTGTGTCCTAGGCTCTGGATGAGGTCGTGGGGATAGAAAACCAATGAAGACGTGGCCTGTGTACTCCGGGTGTGCAGTCTGCTGGGGGATGTGTGAGAGGCAGAGGCAGGGGAGCAGTCGGTTGGCGGCGGCGTGATGGGCAAAGGCCCTGGGGTCTGCAGGCCTCGGCTTGAGGCTGGCTGTGCTGCTTGCCGGCCCGGTGCACTGGCCTGAGTCACTTCTCCTGAGCCTCCCCCCCACCCCACCCCCACCGCCTCTCGGGGGACCCTGAGCAGGAATTCAGAAGTTAGCTCCGCTCCCTGCTCACCGCATGGATTCCTCCGCTCCACAGATACTGTTGGGTCCTCGCTGCCAGGATGCGCTGGGTGCAGGGCCTCCGCAGGGATGAGAGATGCTGGAAGTGGTCGGTGTCTCCAGGAGAAAGGCAGAGCCAGGGGCTAGAAAGTGGGTGTGGAGAGGAGGTCTCTGATGAGGCCACACTTGGGCAGGGACCCGGATGAAATAAAAGACGGAGTCTTGCAGCCGTCAAGGTCAGGGCAGGCCATGCAAGTGCAAAGGCCTGGAGACAGGAGCTTGCCTGGGGTGCTGGGCAGCAGCGAGGAGGCCAGGTGAGAGTGGGGTGAGCGGTCAGGGCAGGGAGAGGAGGGTGGGGGGTGGGGGGTGGGGGGAGCGAGGCGCAGTCCAGGCGCAGGGCACACAGCACTGACAGGACATGGCCTTGGGTGGCAGTCGCTGGATGTCACACGGAGCCTCCAGCTTGGGGCCAGTGGCAGGTGCGTTTGCACAGGGCTTGTCTGAGCAAGATGAAGACAGGACGCACGGGCTCCTCCCACCCCGGGAGATGCTAGCCCAGAGCAAGCTGACTTTGGCTGCCCGCTGCAGGGCACCGCAGGGAGCAGATGGTGATGGGCTGGAGGCCGGGCCCCAGCTCCCTCCACGGCTGGCTGGAAGAGGAGCCACCGGCCCCAGACCACGGGTGCCGCTTCCCCATAAAATAACACATTGTTTGCCGAGTGGATCGAGCCGTGGCCTCCCAGAACGCTGCCCTTTTGAGAAACAGCTTGTCTTTACAGCGGAGAGAAAAGCCAAATAGAACGTTCATCTTTTGTAAAGTTTAAAAAAAAAAAAGAAAAAGAAAGAAAGAAGGAGCCAGCCTCCGCGGCTGGGAATCGATATTAATTTCATGGGCTCGTGGGCGGTGAGATGGAGCAGGTTGCTGGCAGCCGTCGGCAGCCCTATTGGAGTTTACGACAGCGAACTGTGAAAGAGAGAGCGAATAAAAGTACCCGGGGATCGGCAGCTGTCTCAGGCCACGTCCTCCTCCTTCCATCCCCAGTCGGCCACAGCCCTGAGAGATGCTGGCCTGGGTCCCCAAGGACAGCCCAGCACGAGGACAGTGGGGATCGAGGCCTCAGGAGGGATGACCGAGCTTCTCTGGGGACGGCTACGTGCACTGCTGTGGCAGCCGTGGGAATGACAGGCCATGTGACTTCGTCTCAGCTGGTGTCATGTCCGGGCACCATCAGGGCGGCCAGGGCAGGCTCCTGGGGGCCGTCCCCCGCAGCCCCGCCTCCCCTGACCCTTCTCTCACTGTCTTGGGCAATTGTGCCACCTGTGCCAGGCAGCACGGGCACCCCCCTCCCTGCCCCCTGCACCTCCCTGCAGTGCCATCCATCCCAGATCCACGTCTCCAGCTCCCCTCCTGCTGCCTGGACAGCCTACACCGTTGAACCTTGGCCCCTCCTGCTCTTTGCTTTGAACCTGCGGCTTTGCTGAATGTGCCATGTTCTACCCGACTCCAGGCTTCGCTCAGGCCACACGCGCCCTTCCCGCCTTCACCCTGTTAGTTCCTCCCCTTGCTGGGTGCTCAGCCGGCACATCACGCCAGGGGCAGCCTCTAAGGACCTTCTCCCTTCTCTGTTTCTGGGCCCCAGGGCCAGGCCGGGTTTCCTTACACAGTGGGTGCTGAGTGAGTGAGTGCGTGAAGAGCTGCAGGAGCGCCCCCTGCCTGCGGGCTGAGGTCAGCAGGTGGCTGTCGCCGGCGGCAGGAGCACTCGCTCCCTCAACTCCATGTTCCCTCCCTGGGCTCCCTCTTCCTCTTCTGCATGGGGGCGGGGGTGGCTCCAGGTTGTTCCCAGTGCCCACCCAGCTCCCCTTTCCCACCTCCTTATCACCCTGCAGGCCACCAACTCTCCAGATCCTGCTGACCAACACCAAGGTCCCACGCAGCACCAAAGCCCTCGTGGCCGGCGTCAGGAGCAGACTGCTCAAGGTGCTTCTTACCCACCCAGCCCCACCCCCAGCAGGTTTCTGGCACGGTTGGATTTCTGAGCCCTGCCTCTGGCTGATGAGCTGTGGGGGGCTGGGGGGACGGCGCAGTGGCTGATGGGAGCAGGGAGAGCTGGGGAGGCCCACACCCAGCCAGGGGCAGGACAGGGACTCCTGGAACAACAGGGATTGGGCTGTAGACACGCTGGCTTAGCAGCCGGAATCCCCCCTGCTGATGCCAGCACACAGGGAGACACAGGCCAGGAGGAGAGGGGCGGTCCCAGGGAATGGGCGGATGTGGCGGGGACACCTGCCGGCCCTCGGGCCTCACCACCCCCTCGTTCCTGTCCCTCCAGTTCCCAGAGATTGTGGCCCCGCTGCTGACCTCCATAGATGCCATCTCCCTGGAGTGTGAGCGCGTGCTGGGAGACATGGCAGTGGCCGCGACCCCGGAGCAGTACCTGGTGTTGGAAGTAAGAGCCCGCGTACAGACTCTAGGGTGCCCGGCCAGGCCGCCCTCGGAGGCAGTGCCTCCCTGTCTCTCAATGCTCAGAAACCCCAGGCCAGGGCCAGAGGTCCCAGGGCATGGCCCTGGCCAGTGCTGTGAGGATCCTGGGGTGGCCTGGGCCCAGGGAGAGAGCGGGAGAGAGGGTGAGTGTGTAGAGAGAGCGGGGGTCTCACTCTATCCTCTTCCATGGTGAAGAGGGGGGAGTCCGTGTGTGTGTGTGTGCACGCGTGCGCATGAGAGCAAGGGTCTCACTGTATCCTCTTCCGTGGGGGTTCACACAAGCAGTGAGCTGGGCCAGGTTTGGGGGTCCCGTGGGTGGACACTGCCACCAGTCCAGGGGTGACTTCTCACCCGGCCACCTCTCCTCCATCGTTGCCTGCGTTCACTCAGTCACTTTATCACCTGCCCGCTTTGGGTCACACGGGGTCTAAAGTTGTTCTTTCCTTGTCGTAACCCTGACGACCGCCTTCTGTGTGGTCGTGGAGGAGGAGCTGAGCCCCCAGAGTTCGGCCTGCTCGGGCCGGAGTCGGACTCCCGGCTCCTCTCCGTGGCCACGCTGCAGGGTCTGAGACATGGTCAGTGTCTGATGAGCCGAGGACCCACGCTGTGCTGCGGACAGGCTCCCTGTGGCCTGGTGGTGTGGGCTGATGTGAAAAGCCACCAGCTTCCCCTGGACGACAGGACCCAGCGGCCCCTAACAGAGGCCGCCGGGCCGCCACTGCCCCCTGCCCTGCAGCTGTTAGAGCCTGCAGCCCGAGCCACACCTTGCCCAGGTGCCATCTCCCTCGGTCCTCACAACCACCTCCCTGTGCAGCAGCTCCACTGTCCCCATTTTACAGACGTCAAGACTGAGCCTGAGGGAGAACGACTTCCTCCAAGGAGTTTCCGACTAGCGAGTGGCTGAGCCACGGTCAGACTGGCTGACTTGTTGACTCCTTTGTTCTGCAGACCTTTAAGGACCTGTGTGCCAGGTGCAGGCCCCCCACCTACTTCCTATGCTGCTCTCCGGCCACCCCCGCCCCCAGCCTCCGCCTTGCTGGCTCTCAATTCCTTCCACGTAGAAAGGAGGGCACGCAGTCCCCCTGGGTAGGAAATGAATAATGATAGAGTGCTGCCTAAAATACACACCCCGTGGAGCCCCCGGAGAATGCCACAGAAGAGCGTGTTGATTATACATTGTGTGTATTTTTGGCGGTGGCAGCCGCTGAAATGCACAGCTCGGCTCCTGGACAGCTTTGCACTGCAACCAGCGAGCTGTTCTCCTGTGTCACACCTGTCATCTGATCCGTGACAGATTTTGGATCAGAATGTGACAGGTGTCTGGAACCCGCCTCGGCAGCCTGACACCTGGCGCTCAGGCGCAGAGAGGGGCCCCCAGCCCGCCGGGCCGGGGAGAGGCACCCAGGGCTGCCACCAGGCCATCATGCCTGTCTGCTCGTTTGTCACAAGCATGGAGGGGTGCAAGGTGGGCTCGGAGAGGGGGGCCCCCCAACCCTGTCTCAGCAGCCGTCCCCGGGCGGGAGAAGCAGGTGGGCCTCGCCAGTGATGTCTCGGTGATTGGCAGCTCCCAGTGAGCAGGCGTGCCCCGTGCCCTGGAGCAGAGCCTTGCGCTGTTGAGCCCCACTCGCTCTCTGCAGAGGTGGGCCGACCCGCTCGCCGGAGCCTGCCCTGCCCTAGTAGCTCCGTGCCCTTAGGCAAGTCACGAGCCTCGTGCTGATGGTGCGGGCTCTGCGGGGATCCCTTGCCTAGAGCACACGGGCCGGAAGGGGCAGAGCCCAGCCCAAAGCCAGGCCCGGCCGCCTCCAGAGATCCCGGTGTAACTTCCTGATGGCAGGGACCCCGGCTCGGTGCTCCTCCCACCCCGCGTCTAGCGTGGTGCCCAGCGTGTCGGATGATATCTGCGGTGGAGGCCTGGGCGGTTGCGGCTCTCAGATTCATTATTTCGTCCGTGCACTTCCTGTCTGCTCCTTGGAGAGCAGAAATCTTATTCGGTGTAATGGAAGAGCCCTAGACACCTCTTAGCTCTCGCCACCCCTCACGGCCGCGCTGCAGCTACACCCACACCCCGTCTCTATCCTGAAGGCCAGCCAACGGAAGGTGGATGTTGTTGGAGACTTTTCCTCTCGTGAGCGTCGGAAGTCTCCACCAGGCTGGACCAGAAAAGGGGTTTCTTGGGCCCCCACTGAGGAGACCAGCAGTAACAGCTTCAGGCAGAGCTCGATCCAGGGGCCGAAACCCTGCGGTCAGGAATCGCTCCCTCTTTCCTGTAACCTCCGGCTGTGCAGGGGGCAGTGGCAGCCTGCACCTGAACCCACCCCGTTCTAGCAGCTCAGAAAAATCCCTGGGAGAGGCCTGGTGACCCCAGGGCCAAAGGCTTCCATGACCAGGCCTAGGATAAACCCCAAGCACTGTAACATGAGGGCGAGCTCGGCTCCACCCAGATGCCGAGGGAAGTCATGCAGGAAGCAGGGGCATTGACCGTACCAGGCAGTCAGAGCCGCTGGCTGTCGCAGCCGCTGGCTGGCGGATGCTCGGGGCAGACGTGAGGATGGGCGCGAGGCCCCGGCTCTGGCAGGCCGGGCGGAAACAGATGGGACCTTCTCCTGCAGGAGCTCATTGACATGAACCAGCACCATCTGAACGCCCTCGGCGTGGGCCACGCCTCCCTGGACCGGCTCTGCCAGGTGACCATGGCCCACGGACTGCACAGCAAGCTCACTGGCGCGGGCGGCGGCGGCTGTGGCATCACCCTCCTCAAGCCAGGTATGGAGGAGAGGGGGCTGTGAGCAAGTCTCAGCTCAGCTGTGTGGCCTGGGGCAAGTGAATTCATCTCTCTGGGCCTTTAGTCCTCATGGCCAAGGAAGGATGACAGCATCGGGCTTGCAGGGTGAGGTTGGAGAGCCTGGCTCAAGGCTGGGCTGTGGTGGGCGCCGTCCCCGCCCCGCCCCGCCCAGCCTGGCCCGCCCTGCTGCAGCCAGGATGCGGTGTCTGGGGGTCACCTTCATGCTCCTCACTCTCGCCTCTGCTTGTGGCCAAGGTCAGGGTGGACCTTCCCAGGAAACAAAGGCGTCTCCTTCCCATTGCTCTGTGGGGGAAAGAGCAAGATCTAGCACTGGGCATGGGGCTGCATGCTGCACCGTGAGTCCCGCCTGCTGTGCGGTTGGCAAGGGGCCACCGTGCACCTGCGTGGTCGTCTCCCTCTGTCGTCCTTTGACTGCCCCCTTCCTTTCGCCTGTGCTCCGCTGAGCCCCCGGTAGCCCGGGGCATCCCCTCACCCTCCATGGGGACTCCCAGCCTCGGGAGGTGGCCGTGTCCTCACTTCAGTGGGCCCTGGCCGCTGGTTCAGGGTGCATGCCAGTGGTGAGCACTGTCGTTTCTGGAGGGGGTTCGGTGTAGCCGCTGCTGTGCCGTGTGCTCTCCCATGGGAGCCCCCCCCCCCGGTCACTCTGGAGGGGCCGGTGTTCACCCCATTCCCACCCAAGGACACTGGGGCTTAGCCAGCAGAAGTCCCTTGTCTGAGGCTGGGCCCCTGGGACTCTGCCCATTGCTTCCTTGGCCCCCCAGGGAGGGCACAGGACTCGGGTCTCAGCACACAAGGGTTGCAGGCAGCCTCTTTGAGCCTCATAGGTGCAGCAGGAGGGCCTGGCCCCTGGGCCTTCCCCTTGGACAGTGTAAACTCTCTCCAAGGGTGGGGGCAGTGTTCAGTGGTGACTTGCCTTTCTCCCCCCACCCCACCCCCAGATCTCGAACGGGCAGAGGTGGAGGCCACGAAGCAGGCCCTGACCGGCTGCGGGTTCGACTGCTGGGAGACCAGCATCGGTGCCCCCGGAGTCTCCGTCCACTCAGCCGCCTCCCTGGCCGGCCCCGTGCGGCAAGCCCTGGGGGGCCTCTGAGACGAGCTGGTGGCACCGCGGCCCCACCAAGAAGCCCCTCCCTGGATTATTCTGGAGGCTGGAGTCGGCCTCTGTGCTGCTCTTGACATGGACAGAGAGGCCGCCAGGGACGTGCCACCCGTGTCCTGGCTGCCCTGCAGCCAGTCGGCCACTGGGGCCAGGCGGGGTCCCCAAGCCTTCACACCAGAGGGGTGCGGCCCCAGGCTGTCCACCTCTGCCTGCAAGCTCCCAGCACCCCCGCTGCCGTGGCTGGCTCTGGGTGCCAGCGTCTGGCCCTAAGCAAGGGGCTTTCTCTGCCTCCGCCGCCTCCAGGAAGCCTGCCTGGGGCCCCAGTCCCGCATCCCTTTGTTGGAATCTTCAGCGCCGCGGGTGGCCTCGCCTTCTGCCCAGCTCCACTGTGGGCTCCCCCAGTGCAGTCCAGGGGAGGTCTCAGCCTTCCACTCAGCTGAGTGGAGGCAGAACCAACGAGCAGTGGCTTCCAGTCTACCCAAAGGGCTCGCAGAAAGATGGCAAACAAGAGACCTTGAGGGAACAGCACTGCACGCCGTGGCCAGGAGGCTGAGAGCCCAGTAGCCCCCGGACCCCCGTGCCGTCCTCTGTCCCCGGCCCTTCTGCCCCCACTTCCTCAGTGCAGCTCTTCCAGAACTGAAGGAAACAGGGCATTTTTGGGGGTGCATCTCAGGGGCAGGGCTGGGCTGGGTTTTCTCAGGTGACCCTTGCTGGACGCGTCGGCTGGGACAGGGCTGTGAGTCCCGCGGCACAGCTGCAGGAAGGGGACGGTGCCACCTGCTCTCTCCTGGAGCCCACTGACCCCGGGGGAGGAAACACTCTCGGGTGTCCACAGCCCCGGTGCCGGGCACCTCCCTGGCCCTCGTTGCCTGTCAGCTCGGCTCTTTCTGAAACTCAGAAGCCACCGGAAAACCCTCGCAGCCAGCGCTCTGCCAATAGATGCCCGGATCTGTGAGAGGCAGGGCAGGAAGGTGGGGGCTGGGGCAGGGACTTCAGGGATCCGTGCACATGGCTCCGTGCACCACTGCCCTTGGCCACTAGGGGGCAGCTGGCGCCTTTCCGAGCGCCTTCACTGGGCGTGGGAGCCCCCCACGTGGGGCCCCTCTCCCAGCCCTGCCTCCTGTGCAGGCAGCCCTGGTGGCGTGGCTGATGGGGGTCCCCTGGCCCCTGCCCCGCAAGGCAGAACCACTAAGTAAAACGCAGGCGTGAGCGCTTGCTCTGGGCGAGGCTCCGTGCTGCACTGTGCGTGCCAGCTGCCCAGGGCAGGGGTCTCATCCACTCTTGCAGGTCAGGACCCCATAGCTCAGGCAGGTCAAGTTTCTTGTCTGGGACCACGGAGCCAATCAGCCTCAGGCGGGAGTCAAACAGAGCCTGCCCTCTGCCCCTGCGAGGGCTCTTCAAAAAGTTCGCAGAACGGTGGGGGAAGGGCGTGCATGGGTCTTTGTTGTTTGCACCAAAATAAACTTACCTCTGGATTTCATTTCCTGCAAACTCTCCGAAGTGCCTCGTCCCTCCCCTGCCCGGCGTGGCTCTGGGTACAGGTTGTGGCTGCGCTTTGAAGCCTTCTGTGGGCGGCTCCTGGGCCTGCGTGTTTTTCCCCCCGCCACGGGATTTGAATGTGCAGCCGGAGCTGAGGGCCACTTTGCTGTCTGGGAGCCTCCTGGGCCGCGGAGGGGAGTTGTCCAGAGGCCAAGTTCCCGCCACCGCCCTGCCCCTGCGCCTGCCTCACTGTGGGCACAGGTGTCTGCTGGAGCACAGGCTGGCCTCATAGCCTGGCCCCCAGGAGGCAGCCACCTGTCTTCCATACCCATTTGCAGACAGTTTGCATGGGCAGTGCCACCCTTTCCTGCCACCTGCTGCCGTGAATCTCCCTCCTGGCCGCACGTGCGAGTGACCCTGGAGGGCCTGGCCCCACCCCCACCCCTGTCTGATTTAGCCCGTCTCTGCGTCACTCCCTCGTGCGGTCTTTTTAAAGCTCCCGGTGATTCTAACGTGCAGCCAGGGTCAGGGCTGAGGACTCCTAGGGTCACCTGTGCCACCCACGCTGCACATGGCCTTGGTCCACTCGGTTCACCTCTGCAGGCCACAGCCTGCGAGGTGGGTACCAGTGCCCCTTCCCAAGGGTTCGCAAAGCCCGCGTGAGAGGTGCTCATAAGGCCCTAAATGCAGGGCCTGGTGTGCAGTGAGTGCTAAGGAAGTGTGCGGCCCTGTGAGGGTCTTATGCTGAAAGACAGGGGAGCCCCTGGAGCCCAGAGATGTCCAAGTGGTGCCCAGGTGCCCTGCTGGCTTGCAGCCCCAAAGTTGCGTAGCTGAGGCCCACCAGCCTGCCAGAGTGGCAGTGGCTGAGTGTGTGCACCCTGTCGGCCAGGCAAAGGGTGGCTATTTCCCCCAGGTCAGCGTTTGGAGCTGCTCCCAGCCTCTGCCACCCAGCGGGGATGTGACTGCCGCCCTCAGAGGCGGATGTCCACAGAGAGTGTCCCAGGACTAGCAGGGGTCCACGTAGGGGGACGGGCAGCCAGTCCCCCTGGGTCACCCACAGAGAGCATCCCAGGACTGGCAGGGGTCCACGTGGGGGGACGGGCAGCCAGTCCCACTGGGTCACCCACAGAGAGCATCCCAGGACTGACAGGGGTCCACATCGGGGGATGGGCAGCCAGTCCTGCCAGGTCACCCACAGAGAGCATCCCAGGACTAGCAGGGGTCCACATCGGGGGATGGGCAGCCAGTCCCACTGGGTCGCCCCCAGAGAGCATTCCAGGACTGGCGGCAGTCCACTTTGGGGGACGGGCAGCCAGTGCTGCCGGGTCACCCACAGAGAGTGTCCCAGGACTGGCAGGGGTCCATGTGGGGAGACGGGCAGCCAGTCCCACTGGGTCACCCACAGAGAATGTCCCAGGACTGGCAGGGGTCCACGTGGGGGACGGGCAGCCAGTCCCACTGGGTCGCCCTCATCTCCTTCCTGTTGTCAAGGACTTCTTTCTCCCCAAGGGCGTTTCGGGGCCCTGGTAGCCTGTCGCGTTGGGCAGCTGGTTCCAGGCCAGATGCTGGGGGGCGGCCTGGCCCTGCCCTGTGAGATGCTCCCCCGGAGCCTGGTGAGGCCCAGTAGCCAGAGCCGTGTGGCCGGTGAGCTAGTGTGCAGCCATCCCGGCCCCGGCTGCTTTGGGGCAAGCCCCTTGGCCGTGTCTTAGCACTGACAGTGCCAGGAAGGGGCAGAGAGCTGGGCTTGAGGCCAGTCCCTCCTCTGTTTTGGTAAAATTGCTGTTTTTGCTGTTAGAAAGCCAGAGTACATATACCAGAACGCCGTAGAAAGGAAATCCAGACGAGCCGAAGTGAGAAAGGCGAAGTCGCCAGGTTTCCCCACTCAGGGATTGCTCGCTCGGCAGCTGCCGCCTTCCCGTGTGCACGTGTGTATGTGTGCGGGTATGTGTGCACGTGTGCACATGCACTGTGCTGTCCAGTGAATGAAGTGAGGTCATACCGTCAGTGCTGTTTGGTTATCGGCCACCTTTCTGTGTGCACGTGGTTCTAACGCCCAGGCCGTAGTCACCTGTCCCCCAGCTGTGCCCCAGACGTCCAGAACCCTCTGTGGTCCCACACCTGTGGCTGCCGGGACCCTGAATTCTCTCTTCATCCAGCACAGCAGCCTCACACACACGCACACAGGCCCATGAGTACACAGACAAGTGTGCCCACGCACATGCACACACAGGCCCATGTGTACACACACAGACCCATGTGTACACAGACACGTGTGCCCACACACACGCACACACACAGAGACCCATATGTACACAGACATGTGTGCCCACACACATGCACACATATGCCCATGTGTACACAGACACATGTGCCCACGCACACACACACAGGCCCATGTGTACACACACGCATGCCCCCCCACAGACCCACGTGTACACAGACATGCACACACAGGCCCATGTGTACACACACGCATGCCCACACACAGGCCCATGTGTACAGACACGTGTGCCCCCCACAGGCCCATGTGTACACAGACACATGTGCCCACGCACACACACAGGCCCATGTGTACACACACATGCCCACACACACATACAGACACGTGTGCCCACACACATGCACACACAGGCCCATGTGTACACAGGCACGTGTGCCCACACACATGCACACACAGGCCCATGTGTACACAGGCACGTGTGCCCACACACATGCACACACATGCCCATGTGTACACACACATGCCCACACACATACACACAGACCCATGTGTACACAGAAACGTGTGCCCACACACATGCACACACACATGCCCATGTGTACACAGACACGTGTGCCCACACACATGCACACACACAGGCCCATGTGTACACAGACACGTGTGCCCACACACATGCACACACAGAGACCCATGTGTACACAGACACGTGTGTCCACACACATGCACACACACACACAGGCCCATGTGTACACAGACACACGCATGCCCACACACACATGCCCATGTGTACACCGACACACGTGCCCACACACGCACACACATGCCCATGTGTACACACACGTGCCCACACAGGCCCATGTGTACACACGCATGCCCCCCCCACACATGCCCATGTGTACACAGACACACGCATGCCCACACACATGCCCATGTGTACACAGACACACGCGTGCCCACACACACCCGCACCCGCACCTATGTGCCCTTTTCTCCACGCTGTGACTTGCTCAGAGAGCCAGCCGGCTGCCAGATGAGCTGTGTGTCCTGGCCGGGCAGCACCAAGGCCCTCCCCGCAGCCGTGGGAGCAGCCCGCGTCCCGTGAGCCCCTGCTGTGTGCCCAGCCTGCTGCCGAGCGCTTCGTGCCCCTCCCCTCTGTGAGTCCCTGCAGCAGTCACCATTGTTACCCCCATCCTACAGATGAATAAACTGAGGCCCAGAGAAGGGACATGACTTGTCCGGGGTCACAAGGCAAGCACATGGCAGAGCGGGCCTGTGTGACTTCCCAGCCCCGCTCTCGTCCCCTCCCAGGGACTCTCCTTGGGAAGACGACTGATGGCCCCCAGAGCCCTGTCCCCTCCCTGCCTGACTGACATAATGGCATTGCTGCGTGCACCCCCGTGACGCCAGCCCAGCTCACGCCTCCTGCCACCTCGGCCCTCTGTGCTGTGCACACCTCGGACCCCGGACGCAACACGACAGACAGCCCGAGCACCATGCCTGGAGCCACGCCTCCCCGTGCCCTGGATGGGTCACGCCCCACGCCTGTGTCTTCCCCCTCGGCGAGAGCACTCATCCCCACAGCAATTGCTCGTCATTAAAATCCGAAACTGTCAGAGCCGGGACGACCCTGGGTGACCACCTCATGTGCTGATGCTGGGGAAACTGAGGCCAGAGAGGGCAAGAAGCCGCCTCAGGCCGCACAGCGAGCCCCGCCAGCCTCCTTGCCTTCTGGGTTCCTCCTCGTAGCTGGGGCGTCACGGAGAGAGCCGTGCTGGACCAGGGCCTGCCTCACTTCTGCACCCCCTGATTGCATGGCTCAGAGCAGGAACCCCTTCTCCCCTCCCTGTTCTCGGTCTCAATGCCGGGCAACTCTGAGCAGCCCAGGGAGGGCTCCTGTCTGGCACCCCGGGGCCCCCGTTTTGGTTTGGATTTTCAGAATTTGGAAGCTTTGGGGAGTAGAGCCCCGCCCTGGTGTCTCATCCCTGGTAGCTTCTGGGGCAGCCTCCGCCACGGCCGCCTCTGCAGCCACGTGGGAAGTCCTGCCAGGTGGCGTAAGCCCGCCGCTGAGGTGTCCACCACGATGGCCTTGCTGTCCCTGAGTTTGGGCGCCAGCTCCCGGGTGTCAGTGTCCTGGACCGTGGGTCTGATTCATCCTCTTGTCTTGCCCACAAGCGGGCAGAGGTCCCCGCCCCCGTCATCTGGCCACACACGGCCTCTTGCACAGCACGGCAAGGGGACCCAGTGCTGCCAGGGCAGGCAGGACACGCAGCCCCACCCGGGGCAAGGGGACCCCAGCTCACTGTTAAACCAGTCTTCCTCCTTACTGATCCCCTCCCCCCGCCCACCACGAGCCTTGACATGTGCCAAACGTGGTTTCCGGTGGGCTCTGCTCCAGTGGCTGGGTTCTTGGGGGGCTCTGCCTTCTCCAAACCAGGGGCAGGAAGGGGTCACATCCTAGACCACCCCCCACATCCCTCCAAGCATCGGGAGCAGTGGGGAAGCCGTGTTGCCTCTGTTCTCTCACCACGCTCTGGGGCTTAAGGGACAAGATGGCACTGGGGCCACCTCTGCAGGCTGGGCTCCCAGAGATGGCCTGGGCCCATTCCAGCGCGTTTGGAACCTGGTAAGGAAGACGTCCATCTGCAGGGCGTTGGCTGAGACCAAGGTGTCTCCCCGAAGGCTGCCAGAGATGCACCTGCTCCTGGGGACCTCTTGGGTGTCCCCCCTGCCCAGAGAAAGGAGATGCCTCCCAACACACACACACACATACATGTGCACACATGTCTACGACAGTCCTAAAACATGCACATGCACACACACACACATGCATGCACACATGTGCACACATACACACACGACTCTGGCCCGTTGGCTCCTGAACACCGCTCATTGAGCACATACTCAGGGCACACCTGCTATGTGCTGGGAACCGGGCGAGGCCCAGGGAAGGGGGTGGCACACATCCCCGTGGGCCAGGCCGGCCGCTGACCCTCAGGGCTCCCTCCTGCCTGTTCCCTTGGCAAACCCATGAGGGAAGCGTGTGAGCCCTTTACACAGGAGGCGACTGAAGCCCAGCAGGGCAGTGCCTCTCCAGGTCACACCGCTCGCAGACAGGAAAGCTGGGGCCTGCGGCAGGTCTCTGGACTCCAAGTGCAGAGCTCTTCCTGCTGCCTGGGCCCAGACAGCTGAGTAGGCGTCTGTGTGAGCAGGCAAGTGAGGGGGAAATCAGAGGCAGGAGCAGGAGGGGGCTCGCTGTGTGCCCTCAGGCTGGTCTCTTGCCCTCTCTGGGCCTCGGTCTCCTCATCTATAGAAATAACGGTGCCAGGAACTGTGTTTCATCCTCACAGGGGTCAGCGTCTCCTGGACTTTAGGCTCAGCCCTATTGGACCGCACGGTGTGGCCTGACCACCCACAGCCCGGGGGCCTCCGGCCCTCTCTGAGGCTCGGGCTCCTCACGGGCAAAGCGGAAGTACCAACAGAGGATGTGCAAGTCGCGTGGGGCCTGGGATTTAACCCCGGTGATATGCGACCCCAAAGCGGGGCCAGGCTGGGCGTTGCTGGCACACCGGTCCCTGGAGAGAGACGCTGGCAATGAGAGGCAGCCCTGTGCACCCCGCAGCACCCAGCAGCGAGGCTGAGCTGCAGTCCCCAAGACCACGGTGCCCGCTGGGGATTAACACGAGTTGAGGCCGTGACCTTGGAGGAAGAGGCTTCCCTTCAAGGTTGCACCTGCCTTCTGCTGCTAAGACGGCCACATCTGCTCCGCCGTCCTGCCACCTGGCTCCGAGACACAGGGCGGCTGTTTGAGAAGGGACACCCACTGTCCCTTCATGCTCCATGCCACAGAGCTGGGGCCGCACCTGCCGTTTGTGGCCGAGCTGGGACTCCAGCCCAGGCCTCCTGTAGCCAGAACTGGGCCCACCCGAGCCCAGGAGAAGGGGCAGGTGGGCTGCTAAGGTGACTTTGTCCTGGGAGACGCCACCATCTCCACCGATGCCTGTAGCAAGCTGGGACCCGAGCTGGCTCCACGGAGGGCTTGGGCGCTCAGAGGCGAGTCTCAGGCTGTGACGGGGGGTGTGGGGCCCCCACCTCTGCACTTGCCTCCCATAGAGAGAACCAGATTTCTGAGATTTCTGAGATGCTGTGCGACTCAGGTGAGTGACTGCCCATCTCTGGGTCTCCTCTGCCCAGCCCCTGTCTGGCAGCCTGGAGCCAGGGCCTGCCTTCTGGCCCCTGGGCACCACTCTGATGGCCTCAGCCTCGCAGGATGGGCACCCGGCCTGTCAGGTGGGCGCAGGGCAGCCCCCAGCTCCACCACCCCTTTCCCTGCGGGAGGTTGTGGACCTCTTGTCCAGATCTTTCTATCTGGTGTTGAAAGCGAATTCGGAGAGCTGGATCGGGGACATCCGTATTTGGTTTTTAAATACAATTCAGCGATCAAGAAAAATCCATTTATTTATTTATTTAGCAAATGGCCAAGGGGTGGGGGACCCCCCCCAGCAGAATCTGATTACCCCTGGGTGCCCCCTGACATGGCGGGCGGCGGGCGCGCCAGCTCTCCCCTGGGAGGCACAGATGGCATTTTTGTCATCGGTGTCAGCGCTGGCTCCTTCCTGCTCTGATGAATAGATTCTAAAGAGGCAGTGACATTATTCGAGATAACAGAGGGAGGAGAAAAAGGGTCAGCGAGGGAGAGAAACGGCAGCGCCAGCAGATAAAGGCCAGGCCGGAGGGGGCGGAGCGCCCCCAGCCCAGCCCGGCTCCCCGTGGAGGCGGCGGCAGCGGGGGCTGGAATGCGGGAGGCCCCGGACAGCTGCGCTCAGCGCCCGGCCCCGCTCCCCGCATCCCTGGGCAGCCCCGGCCCATTCCGCCTTTTCAATTCGATTCAATTAGGCCGGCCGCTCGGAAGCTCGGCGCGTCTGACACCCAGCGTAACTGACAGGGGATTAGTGCTGTTGGTATTGCACACGCCGCCGCCTGCGAGGGCTGGGGACCTGGCTTAGGGATGCAGCCCACCGCCGGCCTGCCCCTCCGGGACCCCTGCGTGTGGAGGGGGCCGGGGGCCCTGCACTCTGCCGCGCCTCCTTCCTCCTGATCCAGGGCCTCAGGGCCTGGGCAGTGGAGCGAAACAGCCCAGAGAGAACAGAGTTCAATTCCCGGCTCTGATGCTTGCTGGCTGGGTGAACCTGGGCGTGAGCAGCTTCAGCTCTGAGCCTCAGTCTCTTCACCTGGAAAATGGAGCCAGCTCACCCACACAGCAATACTTCCAGTTAGGAGGAGGGGCATCGCTGTAGGAACAGCAGTGTTGAGTAACCACTACTGTTCAGCCTCAGGTCATGCACCTTGCTGTACCCATTTCACAGATGGGATGATGAGGCTCTGAGAGATGTCAGCCACACCCAGAGCAGCCGGCTGGCAAATGGGACACAAGCTGACCTCTGTCCTCTGGCCCTGGACGGTCCCAGAGTCAGGGGCAGCAGGTGGCGTGACCACGTCTTCATGGCTCAGCCCGCTTCTCAGCTAGTGGCTGATTTGGCTGGGGCCCTGAGAGTGGGTTTGGTGCCTGAGCTTAGGCTGTGCCCTGGGTTCTGGAGTCTCAGGGAGACTCCCTGCTCGCAGGGCTCTCCAGCGATCCAACTGACTAGGGCCCAGGGAAAAGGATCAGTGCGTACCCCAGCCCAGAGTGAGAGGAGGAGGTACCCGAGTGGGCTTTCGGCTGGGCTAGGACATAAGGGAGGGAGTCCCAGGCAGCAAAGACACTGAGGTGCTGTGGCCTCCAAGGATCCAGATGGAGCTGTCAGGCCGGGGCTGACACCCTGATGGCCCTGGGGAGCCACGGTGGGTGTCAGGAAGGAGGGTTGCAGTTTCTTCCAGAAAGGCCTCTGGAAGTATGGGTGAGGGAGGGGCTAGGTGACAGGTGCAGTGGCTGATGGGAGCTGTGACATTAGGATGGGTGGAGAGGAGGTGACCGACAGGTCGCAGGTCCCTGGGGGAGACTTCTCAGTTTGGAGGCCCCAATGGTTAGAGTGAGGAAACCCCACCCTGCCAGGGGTGGGGCCCTGGTTGGCACGGAAGCCCTCCCTGGGACTGTCCTTGGGCTACAGGGACCACAGACTCAATGGCTTAAGATGAAAGCGCCTTCCGCCGTGGCTGGGCGCTCAGAATCCAGGTGGTGGCCGGCCTCTCCCAGCATGTGGCAGCCATCAGCGCCGCATGGTCCTGGGCGTGTGGCTGAGCCTTGGTCTCCATGCCGTTAAATGGTGGCCCCTCTCCCTGGGCGCCTCCATCCTCACCTGGCCATCTCGGGTCAGTGCCGCCCTGCTCCCCTCTTTGTAACTTGGCTATCTGTGCAGAGACCCGATTTCCAGATAAGGCCCCGTCCACAAGGACCAGGGGCTGGGGCTCCAGGGTCACTTCTGGTGGGACCTGCTGCACCCCCGGCATCCACGTCCATGGACGTGGTCCCCAGCCTGGCCCCCCGCCCCCCGTACGGCAGTCCCCATGGAGTCAGGGAGCCCGCCTCTCCTCCCCGGGGGGCCCCAGCCCCTCCTGCCAACAGCATCTGAGCAAGGCCGGTCTGGGGCCACCTCTCCGGGGGCTGTTCTCCTAAGAAGTGGCGTTGATGTCAGCGGGCGCCTGTCACTCTCTTTGCCAGCCGTCGCACCTGTCAGGATAAGTGAGACAGCCAGCGCCCGTCTCTGCCTTGGGGATTTTATTGGCAGTTTTGTTGTCATCTGAAAAACCCTCCTGTTCTTCCCCGGCATCTTCATCAGACTGGGGGTGGCACGGGGTGGTGGGGCTGGCTCCTGGAACCAGGCTTGGGTTGGGGGTGGTGCCAGCTCCCCTGGCCTGGGCAGAACACCCCTGAGGTGGGCTCTGGCTCCAGCCAGGGCACAAAAGGAAAATGGGAGGTAGGAGAGGAAGGCACACCAGGGGCCCCAGGCAGTGGCCAGAGGGGGCAGCCCGGGTCCCTCTCCAGTGCCCCCGTGAGTGTTAGGGGGGCATTGTAGAGGTGGGGTGACCTGGAATGTGACCTCAGACCCATGGGTGCAGCTGTCAGCTCCATGACAGGCACTGTAGGGCAAGTCCTTCCTGCTGCACAACCTCAGTGTACCCGTCTGTCCAGTGGGCTCATAACGGGATTCCCATAGGCAGAAGGTTAATCTGGCCCAAGCACCTGAGATCCCTGGCGGTCCCTCCAGGGGAGTCTGGACAGGTGGGCGATATGTTGTGGAAATCAAGGCCGAGAGAAGTGGCCTGGCCAAAGTGGCAGGCAGGCGGAGGCATGCCAGGGTGGTTTGGAAGCCAGGCTGTGAAACCCCGGGCCTGGCTGTGGCCCTGCCCGGCCGGCAGGGTCAGTGAAAGGAACATGGGTAACACAGGGTGCGTGCAGTGCCTGGCACATGGGGAAAAGCTGTCTGTTACTGTTGCTGTTCCTGCTGCCGTCATTGTTGGGGTGGGACCCACTGTCCCAAGGACTCTCTGGACGTCCCTGGGGGCTGCTGACCTCAGAGGCACAGGGCAAGCTCAGAGCTTGCCCTGGGCCTGAGAGACCCCACGCAGGGCTCAATCCCACTCCACACTGTGGGCCTGCCTGGGCAAGTGGGGGTCACCTCACCATGTCCAAGCAGCACAGGGCGAGAGACTGGAACCCAGGGAGCCGCCCCTTGCTTAGGGCCCTGGTTTGAGCACGTGTGGCCACCTGCTAGCTGGCCTCATACTTTGTAATGACCAGAGGCCCCCTGCGAAGGCCAGAGATGCTGCACACCTCAAGGTCCCAGGAGGGGGAGGGGAGACACGGTTGTAGCACCCCAAGGTCCTGGGCGCATCTGAGCCTCCTAAGCCTCTTCCTGGTGCACTGGGGGAAACTGAGGCCTGGAGAGGGGGAGGGTCCAGTGCTCCAGCCTCCTTCCCACGCAGGGCTGTCAGCAGGGCCCCTCTCTGCCCCCTCCCAGCCCGCCCTGTCTCCAGCCCCCCGTGGCTTGGAGAGAGAGAGCATGCGGGCGCCCCGGGCCCACGGGGAGGCACGCCACTCTCCCGCTCCCCAGCACACTGAAGGTTTTGAAAGTTAAAGTATTACCGTCGGCTTTGTTGTTGCCTAACTACGACAGACAAATTGAGAACCAGTTGTCAAAATGTCAGTGTACAACAAATCAACATGCAGAACGAGTCTCTGCGCTCCGCGGTGTATAATTAAACAAAAAATCCCTTTTAGAAATTTCCGCGCGCGTTGGTTCCACTTTATATTTGTCTGTGTGATTAATAAAGGCAGCTAATTTTCAGACTTTAAAAACAGCTAGAAAATAGCTCCTAATTACATATTAGGTTCCTGGCGGCCCCCGCTGAGCTCGGCTGGCATTGGTGGGCCGGAGAGTTTGGCAGAACCTTAATTGCATTCTGCTCATCGTCTAATTTTAGTTAAATGTAATGCAATCAGCTGCAGATGTCTGAAATAAAATATGAATTATGAATATGATGAAATTTCATTCTTGAATAAAAAAGTAATTTGCTATTTAGTTCATTAGAGTCACGGAGGTTTATTAGGAGCAGGTAGATGCAGCCAGGCGAAGATGTGTATTAAACGGGCTCAGGGAGAAGGGGAGAATCCCCAAGCCGGGGGCGGGGGGGACTTGACCTTGGAGTATCCAGTTGTGATTAATTCTTGCTGGCCCTGCAGGAGGTCCCCGGTGGCTCTGATGACCTGGCACACGAGCTCCCCTGAGCGCTTTGAGGCAGGCGCAGGATGGTGAGGCCAGGGGCCTTGCAGTGAGAAGCCCTGGGTGACCCTGGCACCCACCCCTCTCCTGCTCATCTGGGACTGCTGGCTTCTGAGCCTCTTAGATGGGCATGGTGGTGACGCCACTGTATGCAGGACGTAACACGGGGCTTGGGGACACGGCAGGAGGTGGCAAGGGTCCTTCTCTCAGGCTCTGAGTGGGGCCTGGGACTCTACCTCTCAGAGAACCTCAATTTCCCATTCCATAAAATGGGTATAACGATGGCACCCATCAGACAATCAGAACAGTACTGAGAAAATATGTCGGCTATCGCTGGAATCGTTGTCAGGCGTGGAGGTCGGGACACATTGGTATTAAAATACCTTGTTTTGTTTCATCCTTAGAAACGGCCTGTGAGGCTGAGATCAAAAACTCGGCCTTGTTTCTGAGGCCCACAGAGGTTAAATGAATTGCCTAGTAATTGCCAGAGGCAGGATTCGAACCCAGGACGGTCCTGCCTCCAGTGTTTCCCCCACTGCATTCAGAACAGTTCTTGGGGAAGTGGGGAGGGGGCGCTGTGGAGCTGAGCTGGTGGAATCCAGGGCTGGGGATTCTGGTGGGGGGCAACAGGGTCGTCCACCCCAGATGGGGGCAGAGGTGAGTGAGGGGCAGGTTGGCACGCGCTGGGCAGAGGGTGTGGATTCTGTCCCTGGCCACCCTGGGCAGGTCGGCAACGGCAGAGGCTGGCTCTGCACCC